AGTTTAAAGCTCTCTTAATCAGTTGTGCCAGCCTCCATCCTAGAAGTCTATTTCCTTCCCTACTCAAATGAAGTCCATCCCGAGAGAACTGTCCTCTATCCATGAATGCCTCCCAGTGGCCATACATCCCAAAGCCCTCCTTATAGCACCACTGCCTAAGCCATCTGTTGATAGTTATAATCTTGTCACACCTTTGTTGCCCTTCTCTAGGAACAGGCAGAATCCCACTAAAGATCACCTGAGCCTCAATTTCCTTAAGCGTCTTCCTCAACCTAGCACAGTCTCCCTTAATACTTTCCAGCGAGAATCTAGCCATATCATTTGTTCCCACATGAAGGATAATTAGGGGATTCTTTCCTGCTCCCTTTAGAATCCTTTTCAACCTCAGGTCTACATCCCATATCTTAGCACCTGGAAGACAGCACACCCTCCTATTCTCCGGATCAGCTCTGGTTACAGGCCTATCTATTCTTCTCAGTAAAGAGTCCCCAATCACATAGACCTGTCTTTTCCTAGTGACGGTGCTATTCTCCAGTCTATCCCCTGTTCCCTCTGGCTGCAAGTTCTTTCCATTCCTATTCTCCCTTGTAATCCTCTTTAACCCATCCTGTATCCTCCTGGGGCTCATATTTGGTGTAATCTCCATTAACTCTTCCCCTTTTCCTATAGGACTAGCCGCTCTTCTCTTCTTCCTTGACCTTCCAGCTTCAGTGACTACCTGCTGAGCCCCTTCTTCATTTTCCAACTCTGCATACCTATTCTTAAGCTCTATTTCTCCTTCACTAGCCCGTCTTTTCCTTTGCCTGGTTCTTTTAGTCACATGCTTCCACTGACCACTTTCCTCACCCAGTCTCCCCTCAGAATTCCCAGTCCTGCTTCCATCTGCAAGTCAGAGCTTTTCCCTTCAGATACCTCATATCTTTGCTCCATAATCTGCTCAAACCCCGTCCTAAACTCTACCAGACTTTCCACCTGCATCCCCAAACCTCGGATCTTTTCCTCCATCAGCTCAATCAGACGGCACTTCATACAGACAAAACTCTTACCAGGTGCCCCCTCCAGGATCATGTACATACCGCAGCTTCCACATCCAGTCATCTTCATTGTGTCTTCCGCTACATGGGTCACTCCCACTGCTGCCTCTGTATCTGCCATAGCCTTCCCACCTAAACCCTGTTAATCTGGGAAACACGAACCACACCAAAACACCACCACCCACAGCAAAAAACAAGCACCACAAGACAGACTCCCCTGTTTACAGCTCTGTTTGCTGGCTGCTGCCTGACTGGCTGCTACCTTTTAGGACCCCTACTCAGAGAAGCCCCGCCCCCTAATCAGGGCTCAGCTTCTCTCCCAGCACAAAGCCCCTGCAAGCCTCTCCACATACAAATAATACAAATACAGAACCAAATACAAATACCTTCTCCTCCAACAGAACTCCCACTGAAACTCCCCTGTTTACAGCTCTGTTTGCTAGCTCCTGTGCCGCTGCAGCTGTCTGTGCCTCTGCCCCAGTCCGTCCCCCCACTAGTCCTTCTGAACTTTTTAAAGACTAAGGAATTGCAGGAGTTGCCACTGTAGCGTTTTAAGTGTAGACAAGCCCTGAGTCATTTTCCTATTGTTGCCCCTTTTGGCCTGAGCAGTTAGCCAATGCCTAGGGCCTTGCCAAACTGTTTCCATGAGGGGAAAAAAATTGATTATATAAGTCAGGTATTACTTTGGTGCAATCCTGTTTATTTACCAGGCATACAATCTTGTTTCCTTGAACACAGTGGGGAAAAAAGTCAACACAGGCAGTTTCTTGGCTCACTATTTCAAAGCCTGCCTCTCCATATCTCTGCTTCATGTCTGGTCCACACTCATGACTTCTCTCTCACTTCTTGTTCGGTTTCTGCTTCTACCACACACAGATACACACAGCTGCAGCCAATCAATCCCCTCACCTCTGTGTTTGCAGTTAGTCCCAGGACACACAGGACAACAGGCAGACAACAAGGCTAACACTATGTCTACACTACAGACCTTACAGCAGCACAGCTGTACCGCTGTAAGGTCTCCCATCTAGCTGCTCTAATTAACAAACCCCTAACGAGTGGAGGTACTATGTCAGCAGGAGAGCATCTCCCGCCAACGCAGTGCTGTTCACACCAGTACTTTTGCTGGTGAAACTTTTGTCAGTCAGGAGTGTGGTTTTTTTCCACACCCCTGACTGACTAAAGTTTTACTGGCAAAAGTGCTAGTGTGGCCATAGCCTTAGTTTCTGATTGGCCTCATAATATAGCCCATTGCTTTGGGCAATGGCTTCCTAATGTTTCCAGTTATCACTACATGAAGCAGCATTTAGTTGCTCCACACATTTAACAAAGTTTGTGATTGTCTCTTTATCAAAGACACACCTGACAGCCCATTTACACTTTCCAGCATAACACTCTGAAATGTCCCAATAAAACAGCTATCCTCATATAGTGTGTCCCATTGAAGAAGAGTATGCTGTAGTAATATTTTATATTTACATAGCACCTTTCATTTTATACACATAAAGCATCATGGAACTGCAGCAGCCTCTGTGGAGGAGAGCAACAGCCAACAGACAGGCACAGAGTGCACTACATAATTACTCCAGGGCAAACTAATGAACTCTTACTCTAACAAAATGCATCATGGATTTTTTTTTGTTTGTTTAACATCTACGCACTTCCGACACAGTCTCACTATTTAAAGGTCCAGCCTGAAACAGCCACACAGTAAACTGCAGCAAACTCAATGAACTTGAAGCTGAGCTGCTCTATACTGCATCTGGTTTCAAAGGCTCTCCAATGGACCATCCTGCAGCCTGAAATCTCTGGAGTCAGGAAGTGTCAGAAAGAAAGGAACAAAACTGTTTGAGGACAGCCCAATCAACTCCAACAGGAACACTGGGCTCCACACCTGGCTCTTCCACTCTCCAGCTGTGTGGCTTCTGTGCTCCAATCTCCCTGCCTGTAATATGACAATTATGTGAACTGCTCTGCATCAGTGAACGCAACACTCAGGCCTCGACTTCCCAGAAACAGAAAGTGAAGTAATGAAATCAGCTGCAATTCACACCAACTATTTCAGCACAAGTCTGCATGTGGATGCCAGTTTTGGGAGAAGAGGGCCCCAAACTCAAGTCAGTTTAAACAAAACAAAAAAGATTTGAGAGCATCTACGCATGGACCGGCACTGAAAGCTCCGATTAAACCCGATTGCAATGACGCAGTGCCAGTCTCTGTGCATACAAAGCCTCAGGGACAAGCTGGCTGGGCAGACACCAACCATGATGCCCTCAACTGAGGAATCCATTACAATTACATCTCCATCACAGGAGAGCAATAGAGACAATGTTTGCACATCGACTCATGCATTGCTTGGAACAGCTGGGTGAAAAGATACCCTCCCCAGCCCGGGCCAAATGAGCGAGTGAGGGTGGGGGAAAGCAAGCAATGAACGGAGGGGGGATGGAGTGAGCGGGGTGAGGCCTCGGAGAAGGGGCGGGACAGGGACGCTCAGATTGTGCTATTACAAAGTTGGCAACCTTCCCAACTTCTCCCTCCTCCGCCCACAATGCTCCCAGAGGAGGGATGCCCCCTGTTCCCTCTTTGATACCATGGGGGCCTTTGTTCCCTCTCCCCCTTGCATCCCAGGGAGGCTGCTCTCTCCTCCCCCCTTTGACCCCATAAGGGGCCACTCTCTCCTTCTCCCTTTGATCCCATGGGGGGCAGCTCTCTCCGCCCCATTTGGCTGCCCCCTCCCCCTTGATGTCATGGGGGGCAGCTCTCTCCTCCCCACTTTAATCCCATGGGGGGGCCACTCTCTCCTCCCCCCATTGGCTGCTCCCTCCCCCCTGATCCCATGGGGCGCAGCTCTCTCCTCCCCACTTTAATCCCATGGGGGGCCGCTCTCTCCTCCCCCCATTGGCTGCCCATTGCCACTTGATCCCATGGGGGGCAGCTCTCTCCTCCCCCCTTTGGCTGCCCCCTCCCCTTTGATCCCATGGAGGCAGCTCTCTCCTCCCCATTTTGATCCCATGGGGGACAGTTCTCTCCTCCCCACTTTGATCCCACGGGGGTGGCCCACTTTCCCCTCTTTGATCCCAGAGGGGGCCGCTCTCCCCCCTCTGATCCAGGGGGCGCCGCCCTCTCCTCTCCGTTCATGGTCCATACCATGGCGAAGGCGGCGGCGGCGGCCCCTCTTCCCGCGCGGGCGGGGCGGGAGGGCGCTGGACTGAGGTTCCAGTAACGGGCCCCGCCGCGGGGCTGCGCGCGCCCTCCATCTTCCGAGCTCTGCGCGTGCCGCCGCCCCTTGTCCTAGGCGCGCGCGCGGTGGGTGTTTGGCTGCGTTGCCCGGCAACAGGCCGGGATGGCGCTGCAGCTGGAGCTCAGCGAGGCCTGGATCCGGGAGCAGGCGGCGCTGCGGGGAATTGGCCCAGGTACCGCCCCCGGCAGGCCTGGGGATGCGGGAAATGCTGACGGGGCAGCACCAGGCTCCTGGGGGCAGAACGGGGGCCCCAGGGTATTTGGGGGCAGGGGCTTGAGGCATGCGCCTGGGGAGGGAGAACCAGGGCCCCAGGGTATTTGGGGGGCGGCAGCAGGGACTTGGGGTGTAATCAGGGCCCCAGGGTATTTGGGGGGCGGCAGCAGGGACTTGGGGTGTAATCAGGGCCCCAGGGTATTTGGGGGGCGGCAGCAGGGACTTGGGGTGTAACCAGGGCCCCAGGGTATTTGGGGGGCGGCAGCAGGGACTTGGGGTGTAATCAGGGCCCCAGGGTATTTGGGGGGCGGCAGCAGGGACTTGGGGTGTAATCAGGGCCTCAGGGTATTTGGGGGGCGGCAGCAGGGACTTGGGGTGTAATCAGGGCCCCAGGGTATTTGGGGGGCGGCAGCAGGGACTTGGGGTGTAATCAGGGCCCCAGGGTATTTGGGGGGCGGCAGCAGGGACTTGGGGTGTAATCAGGGCCTCAGGGTATTTGGGGGCGGCAGCAGGGGGCCGGTACTGGGGCAGCCGGCAGGGCACAGCACGGGTACTGGGCGACACTGGGGTAGGCAGGGGCATTTGTGGAACCGTCATGGTTGGAAGCACAGGAACCCAGGGAGCAGCGATCGCCCGTGAGTATCAGGACCGACCGTCCGGGAAACGACGCTCATTCAACAGGGCAAGAGCGCTAGTAGCCATCCGCACAGGTGCACGCCGCAGCCAGGCACATAAGTGGTGGCCCGTTTCCCAGGCTCCACGTCAAAGGAAACGTCTGTGCTTGCTTAGGCCCACCATAATAGGACCCTGGTTTTTATGATGCCTCGGGGTCTGACCAATTAAATATTTTAGTAATAGTAAAAGGTGTCCCTTTGATATGAAACCATATGCCAGCCCATTGTGGTAGGGGGAGGTCAGCATCAGGGTATATAGAAGTGTACAACGCTGGTTCTGATACATTATCTGGGAGTTGTTAATGCCTCCTTACTTCCATAAACAAAACTGAAGGTCATGGCGATAGCTGAAATAGTGATGGACAGCGGGACCCGCACAAAGGTATCATTTGCGTAAGATACACGAGCCCTGTTGAAGGGACACATTCCTATAGACAAAGTGCTGCAAGCACAGAGTGGGGAACAAACAGGACCTGCATAGTCTTCGCAGCATTTTCTAGCTTGTCACGCAGTAGTGTGCACAGATGCAAAACAGCAGTATGATTCAGAGGGATCTTTGAAGTGGGAAAATCTGACAATCAGTATTATGATGCATAGTCTGTTCAATCTCTCTGGTGGTCTATGCAGTCAGAGGAACATGTCTCTCCTTTGGCACACTCATTTGCATGCTGCAAATACTATCAGTGCTGAGTAGGACAACAATAAACAGCGGGAAGGCACCATCCCCTAATGGCTAGATTCACAAAAAAAAAAAAAAAAAGGACTTAGGTGGTTAAGTCCCTCTTAAGGTGCCTAAGACCAACTCTTAGGCCCACTCCCATTCACAAAAAACATTGCTCAACTGCCAGCTGAAGTTCCTAGGTGCCTAACCTTCTGCCACGGGGTACAAGCAGAGCCACCTACGTCCTGTCACTTGGCAACTAAGCGCTGGCAGGATTCTCAAGCTAGGCTTTTCCCCATCTATTTCCCGTGCAAGGCCCAATCCAGTAGGCATGACCTGAGTCCACCAGATTGAGCCCTACATAAAAGACAGTCATTGTGGGCATGTGTGTAGCCCTGACCTAGTCATTAGGGCACTCCTATAGATCCAGATTTGAATCCCTATTCTGGCTGATTCAAAGCCCTTACATTTTCTCTCATCTTTCTTCTCTCACTTCCCTCCAGTGCCCTTTCATATTCTACACCCATCCATGCACTCACAACAGCACACCTACTCACACATAGAAGTGGTGAAATTTCACCATACACATCACAGACAGAGGACTAATCCCGCTAGCAAAATGCCTGTGTGAAAGATGAGAACTTCCTACTACCCCATGTCATTACCCAGGTGAGAAGCCAACACCTTCCAGCCCCCAGCCTGCTGTGTGAAGCAAGCATGAGTAGTCTTTTTCTGTTCATTGCTCTCATTCAGAAGCTTCCTGGTTGCTGCAAGGGTTGGTTTGTGTCCCCTTATCCCTCCCTCAGCTTTCTGGCTGTTGCATGGAGGTTTCTTACTTTATCCTTCCCTAGTCTGTTCATCTTGTTTTCTTCTCCAGCACACAGCTCCATTTCCTCATTCTGTCAAGCAGCAGAAAAGAGAAATTGATTAGACTTTTGTCAGTTTCATGATTGGCCACAAGATACTGAATATCAGTAGTGAAAACTGAGGAGAACCAGGTTAGTTTTCATTCAGTTGCTGTGTGGAATAGCTCTGAACAGCAGCAAAAACACTGGCACTATCTGCAAATTCACACCGACAGCACCGCATCTGTTACACTCTGGTTCTGAGTTTTGTTTGTAGCCATATGGGCTGGAAGCTATAGTTTATTTTTAAATTAACTCAGTTCTGCAGTAGTTGATGGCAGTTGCCAGGAAAATATGCCTACTAGCAACACTGTCAAGTGGAGTTGTCAAGCCCTGCTCTGAATAGAAATTAATTCTTGGCTGAATGTTCCCAAGGCTGGCTACACAGTCAGTGTGTGGTTATGGTAGTTCGGCTGTAGTGAGATCAGTTGAGTGTACGCAATCAATAGGTTAATTAAAAAAGCTGGAATGGCAAGGATTGTATTTCTTTCAGTGCTGTAGCAGCATAATGTTAGCCATACCAAATGAGAGAGAGCTACAGACATCCAGAGATGCTCAGACAGGATGAACATTAAGCCAGGTATAGAACATGATCAGGTCACACAAGAAGGGAGTGATCATAACAATTTACAGTTCTCACCTGCTGTCAGGAAACCAAATCTTCTAAGGTTCAGTGCAAACAAACTCCAAGCTGAGACTGAGCTGCTGTGGAGGTAATTCCTAGTCTTTCATATACAACAAAATCCTTTTGCAGAAAATCCCTTAAACGTTGCTCTCTTCCAACTGAGTTCTTGCAAAGCTTATCCATGCATGGTCTTTGTAATGCGGTTGGCACCCGCCTCTTATGAGTTCCCCCTTTCTTTGGCCAATGTACTTGCAGTCACAGTTCTTTTCAGGGGTGGCACTCACATCATGCGGGGGGCCCCCTTTGGTTGGTTGGGTGTGATCCTGCATTTGGGTCTAGTTTTTTCAACAGGGTGGCACCCACCTCTTGTGAGCAACCCCCAGCCAATGGTTCTCTCAACAGGTCTTCGGCAACTCAGCTCTCCAGCCAAGTTGCATATGCTGTCCCCAATTCCAGAGTATAGAATCCCGAGTTCTTATCCTGGCCCTGGTATGGGGCTGTAGTTCTTAGGCTTTTTCCCAGAGGCACTGCCTTCTTCAACCACCCAGCCGGAGCCCATCTTGGTACCCTCAGCTGCTGTCTTTTCAGCAGCCCTCCCTGGGCTCAGTCTGCAACCAGACTAGCAGGACTCATCTCGGTACCCTTATCTGGTCTGTCCAGGTTCTGTGCTCAGTTCCCACATTGACCTTTTCATGATCCTGCTGCTATTCTAGCCAGCCAGCCAGGCACCCAGTCTTTGGCAACCTTCCCTGGGTGGTTCTGTCTGGAGAGCTCTCTTCAGTGAGCTGTCCATGGTCCTGCTCCTGTTTCTCTAGCCAGCCAGGCACCCAGTCCTCCCTCATCAAGCTCCACACAGCAACTGAAGACTCTGCTTTGCTGCTTGCCTTTTATCTGGCCCCTTACTGGTCGCTCCATCTTATTCCGCTCCAGTGGCCCCTCTGATTGGCTGCTTCTCTGCATCCATTCTAGGCTGCCTGGAGGACTTCTCACTGCTCTATTCTGGGGCAGTGAGACACATAGCCCCAAGGCCTCCACCGTCTTCATGTTGTGAGTCAAATGACAGTAGTACCTCAAGATTGACCCAAGGTGTGTCCAGATGCTGATAGACAACTGGAAGAGAAACTTGTTGAGAAGCCAGCAGGACATGGCAGACCTGGAATAAACACTCTACCCAGGGATCACGACATGCCAGAATGCTTTGGAACACCATTCTGGCACTTTTCGAGGAAGTACCAGAAGTGTGTTATGGCACTTTTTTTTTTTTAATAAGGACTTGCCCACTTACTTTACCAGTGCAGAGTATTTCCCCTAATGTAGATAATGTTGAGTCATGGTAACAGACACCAGCAGAATAGAGCGCTATATAAGCCCAAATTTCCTATTTCCCCTCCAGGTTAGTTCTCCTGTGGAGCTCTAAAGGGTATGACACCCGCAACATAAGTCAGTTTTCTATGGTGGGTCTGGACACTATAGTCCTGAAATAAGGGTTATTTTAAAGGAAGTACTACTGTGATTTCCCCCCTCTTTTAGGGCACTTGGGGCATTCACTGCAGAATTCTAGTGGGGTTAGATTTTCCCTCAAAAAAAGGGCACTTCAGCTCACTGTTACTGAACAAGAGAGACCTCTAAAAATGAAAAAGTAAGGCTCGTGCACATACAAGGAGCTGATGAAACTGGGGTTATTGAACAATCTAAAATATAAGTTACATTCAGTTTTTAGAAAACTAGGAGAGACCTTAGGACCTTTACAAGTTCTTTCCTTTCAGAACAGGTGGAGTCCCTCTCACTGCAGGGAACATATGCAGGGAAAATCCACTCCCTTGGAGATGCCTTCAAAAATTTTAAAAGTCTCCAATCTTTAGATCTGTCCAGAAATATGATTGTCAGTCTAGAGGTAAGTTCCCCATTCTCTGTTGAACTCTCTACAACCTCAAGAGACTTTGTAAGAGATTTGCTGTTATAAAGGATTAACAATTTATTTTTTAAAAATCTAGTCAATCTGATAACCTGACTAAAGCAAACTGGTTTCCTTTCACCTCAGGCAGGGAAAAACTTTTCATGATTACCCTTTTGGTAACCCAGCAGTCCCATTCCCTCCTCCAGGCAAAGAGTTCTGTTTCCTTCTTTTAGGTGGGAAAATTAATTTGGGACCTGTAAAAGCAATTCCAGTTCTCCCTTGTGACAAAGCAAAGGGGAAAAAACAACGAACCAAAAAGACCCCAAGGGATTCGCCCCTGACTACATAGTATCAACCAAAAACCCCAAAAGAACTTGTACCTCCCTTTTCAGCAGGGTAGACAAGCACTCATAAAGATGTCCAGCTCCTCAGGTTCAGAATAACCATTCTGCAGTTTTTCTTAGCTCCTTTTCCTCTGGGTTGACTTTCTCTGCAATCAAACTTCTCTTAGCAAGCATGACTGGCTTGCCACCTCCCAAGCACCCCTTTGTGGTGCTACAGCTCCCTGCCTCAGTTTCCACAGCTGGGTCACTCTCAGAGTTCAATCACCTTTCTAGGTAACAAAAGTTAAAAAAAAAAAAAGTTCTGCAGAAAGGAATATTGATTGTGACTGAAGCCCTCCAAACTATTCAGACAAATGGGTGTGTGGTAAACCATATGTGCTGTGAAAGGCAACTGGGAGAAAGTGAAGCCATTCAGAACTGATTGGCTAAATGATGTTTGCTTATCAGAGGTTATCCTGTATTGCTTTCCGTCTCTATTTGGGTCATAGGATAATAACCCTTTTAGAGTGCCTTTTATCTGAATATCTCCCAGTGCTTTACAGAGCTATACGTAAGTATAATTATCACCAGTTTACAGATAGGGAGATCGAGTGCAAAGAATGTAAAAGACTTGACCAGCATGCCACAGTAATCCTGTGGAAGTCTATCTGTTTAGGGCTAAAGACTATACCATGCTCCTACTCTATTAAATATATAACTTTGTTTTTTTCCTTACAGGGTATTGAATATTTATATTTGTTACAAAATCTGAATTTATATTACAATCATATCTCATCCTTGCTGGAAGTGACTCGCCTCCAAACATTACCAGTCCTCTCAGAGCTGGATCTGCGCCTCAACCCCATTACCAGAAAAGAATCCGATTATAGACTGTTCGCTGTCTATACGCTACAAGCCCTGGAAAAACTGGGTGAGAGATATTACTGTTGAATGCTGAAGAAAAGGTATTCAGTAGCAGCAATCTGTTATTACTGGATCAGTGTCATAAACTGTTGTGGCAGTTCATACACACCATGGGAAGGAGCTTTCTCCCATGTCGTTTATCAGCTCCACAGGCTCCTCCCTTCTTGCTGAGTTTATAACCATGCAAATTGTGGTTCTTCCAAGTTCTGCAGGTAAAGCTGGCAAAACCAGTCATCTCTACAGTTCCCATAGTTGTGGTTCAGAGACCTTACAAGCTCTGCAAGTTTAACAGCTCAGTATTTTTCCTTCCTTTTCCTAGAAAATCCAAACAAACAATTGTATAAATGTAACTTTACAAATTTAAATCCTCAGCATAGGAAATGAAAAACATAAGACACTCCTAGTAATGCTGACTCAGCCACAAAGTGTTGCTTTGTAAAGGCTCATCCCTGGTCTACAGTCTTTTCTGCTGTGTGTAAGAAGGATTGTTTCTACAGTCTGTGCAGAGCTGCACTCCAGTTAAATGTTTTATAATTCTGTGTTTTTTCCGACTGTTTGAAGGTACTTGATTAGACCTCAGCATCACTTTATGCTCGACCTAGAATTAAGTCTTCATCCTGAATTTATCACGTTGCAGTCTGTTGCTATGGAAATAACTGAAGACAAAAGCAGGTTTATGACTTCACTACAGAATCCATGTGAAAGAGCTGAAGTCAAAGCAGGCGGTTGCCATGGCAGTAGACTGGAAAGTGAAGTATGCCCTATGTTGGCTAGCCTTTTTCCGTTTGGATACTCAGTTCAGTGCACAGCTACTATGAGTTAGGGAGGAGTGTGGCTAATAATTCTGTCCCTCTCTTGGCATGTCTGAGGCACTCTGACCCCAAAGTGGACTAAGGTAAGTATGTATACTTGGCTAAAATTTTAAAGAGCCTTGAGTAACTTAGGCCATGGCTACATGACAAAACTATGTCGACCTAACTTACGACAGCACACAGACACTACAGTTATTAAATCATTGGTGTGCACGCATGCTTGGCTCTTTGTAATAGTGGTGTGCGTCCTCACCAGGCGCGCTTGTTATCGATTGTATTGCCAGCATGAGGCACTGTGGGATGGCTGCTGAAAGGCAGTAACAGTTGTAAGTAATGCAGCCTCTACACTGACATTGCGCCCACCTAATTACATCAACCGTGACTCTACGCCGCTCGGGGAGGTGGTGTTACTACATCAGCATAGAGAGGCACTTATGTCGGCGGGAGCCAAATTTAAGTGAAGAGCCTTCCACAAGACGCAGGGCAGCTTATGTCAACCTAACCCTGTAGCGTAGACCAGGCCTCAGTCCCTTTTCAAAAGTGATTCCAGCACAAGAGAGCCTAGACCTTATTCAAAGTCAATGGAAGTTAAGCTCCTAATTCAGAGGCACACTTGAAAAGTTTACTATTGGTATTTAGATCCTAGCTTAAAATCTCTGTTGGAGCCATGGTAATGAACAGCACCACTCTGCTCCCTTAAATTCCTCCCCACCTTGACTTAGATCTTTTTAGGCCTGGCTTTGGAATCATCAGGTGTTTTGCTGTGGACATCGATTTCAATGTTGTAACGAGGCAGGGCTTCTCCTCACCCTGCAAAGGATCCATTGCCACACCCAGAGTCTCTTTTAGATGGTTTTATTTTCCCAAACTTAAGCAAACCAAACAAACACAGTTCTGCAGTTCACGCTGGGCTATAACTCCTAGGGGATGTTTCCTCTTTACCTTTCAGGCACTCATTCTGCTTCCTCTCCCATGGGACACTGGAAACCTTGCTTCCTACTTCTGACTCATTAGGTCTTTCTTACTTCCCCAGGTCAGGGGCCCTCCTAATCCGGGGCCAGGTCTAAGAAATTAGGTTGCTATAAGGCATTCCAACCCCTGGTGTAAGCAGTGCTATGTTGATGAGAGAGCTTCTCCCATCAACAGAGCTACCGCCTCTGGGGGAGGTAGAATATCTATGCCGATGCAAGAAGCCCTCCTGTCAGTATAGGTAGCATCTTCACTGAAGTGCTACAGAGGCACAGCTGCCCTTGTACAGTGTTTTAGGGGTAGACCAGCCCTGGGTCAGCTGGTGCAGCACAAGTACACTGGCCCTGCTCCCTCTTAAAGCGTCAGTCACCCTGTAACAAATGTCTACGTTGATTTTATTATATTCATCTGGGGTCTCATGGTCTCTGAAACAACCATAAAATTGGCTCAGGTAGCTCTGTAGCATACTGGGGGAGTTGGGCCACATTGTGTTGGGTCCTACAAACACAGACTGTTCCTGCCCTGGAGGGTTTAGGATTTAAAAGACCTAAACAAATGAAGGGGTGGGGATGGGGCTGTAACATATAAACCAATGAATGTAATGATAAATTGGCTTGATTTTGTGCTAGTTACATGTTTTGTTGTTGAGCTATTTATTTCACGTTGGGTGAGGTAGGGTGACCATGAATAGCAAGGAAAGAGGAGTTAATAAAAGTAAGGGAACAAGAACAGAAAGAAAGGGACAGTCACAGCTCACCACGTGCCTAGCCAAGTTAAGAAAATGTGCTCTACTTCTGGCTGTCCTTGAAAAACACCTGAAGATTCCAACTGGTGCAGAATACTGTGTAACTCACTTCTTAAGGAGGGTGAGCTGCTATGAGCATGTAACACCAATGCTCTGTACTGGGATATCGGATTCTTCTTTGAGTGCAATTCAAGGTGTTAGTTATGGTCTTTAAAGCCCTGAATGGGACTCTCCCATCTGGGTGTTCTCTCTCTAATATATCCTACTGCAGGAGTTACAATCTTCTTGGATCCTTGGGTTAGACTGTCTGTAGTGGGCAGGGGGGTGTTCTCCGTGGAGAGCCATGCCTCTGGGCCTTTTCCCTCCAGTGGTCAGCCAGAGCCAGAGTCTGGAAAGCTTCATGACATAGACTAAAAGACTTATTGAATTGGGCAGCCATTTGAAAATCTTTGGCTTAACGTAACAGGGATTGGAGTTTTGCTAAGGAACAGGGGTTCCATTGGTGGACCTTTCAGTGGCTTGAGACACTTGCATTTTGACTTCTTCAGACCTGCTGATTGTTTATCTTGGAGAGGTGCCTGCTCATGTATGCTGATATAAATTTCTGAATGAATGAAGTGATAATGAGGTGATAATTTCAGAATTATGGGCAAAACATTCCTGGGTATTTCTGAGCTATAGAAGCACCCAAATTGCTAGTAATGTGCACAGCACATTTTGTATTACTTACCCACAGCCCCAGTCCAGAACACTGCTGAGAGTCCCAGCAGCTAATGTAGCGTTTAGTCAGAGATCTCCATGTTTCAGCCTTGAACTCTGACACAGGGAAAGGTGAGATCTCACTGTTTACTAGTCACAGGATGTGATCTGGAGACAGCACACCCAGTGACAGGAAGGGGAGCAGACTGTAACTTCTTTCAGTCTTGTGTCGATAGAGCTTTCACTCCAAAAGGCTGGAGGCTGTTAGGCCCCCCTGCTCGTGTTCTAACTCTTCCAGTAGCCTGCCCTTCAAATGTTTTGCCCTTAGCCCCACAAACACCCCTCTAGCCACAGGTTTTTGTCCCTGTGCCAAAACCACCACCCTCAGCTTACTGCAGTGCAAAGAACCATGGGATATGGCCCCAGCTGTCTAAGGGCTTGACTACCTGGTGAAGTGATCCACTCTACGGGATTGTGATTTCTAAAGTGCGCTAATGTGTTGTGCATCAACTGATCTGTGTAGATGATGCAGATGCACACTAAAAGTTCCAGAATGCATCTTAACGTAATACTATTTCAGACAGCACTACGTTAAAGCACCCCAGCAGGGTTTGTGCCGCTCAATTAATGCACTACATGTTAGTGCGCTTTAGAAATCACACCTCCGTAGAGTGCATTACTGCACCACGTAGACAAATCTTTAGTGCCACACATGAGTGAGTGAAGCTCCAGCTATGTGGACACAGCAACTGGAGTGTTACTTTGCCGTGTGGCTCCTTTTACTCGAGCTAGGCCAGCTTGGCAGAGCTATCGTAAGTGTAGATAGCACACGTTAGTGTAATGTCTGAAAATTACAGCCTGAAAAGTGAAAGTTTAAGAAAGGCATAAGCAGTTGAAAGGGGGAGGGGGATAGAGTGGAGTTGTTTGTGTAATCTTCATTTAAAAAGGTGCTACCACTCCCTCAAACAAAAAAAATTCAATGCGTTCATCTTATGTTTCTTGGTGACACTAAATGCACACATTTGGGCAATGGGTGATAAAGCAATTTATCAGAATCTTAGAAATTAATTCCCTTCTGATTTTGAATTAACTTGCTAATAAAGTGATACGCTGAGTTTTCATATGAAAATACTTTTGTAATAATATTAGCAGCTGCACTGTGAGCGTATCCCATACATTCCAAATGGGGTTACGTATATCTTTTTCTTTGGTTAGGTTAATATGTTGTCAGTTTTCTAATCATTAATGGAATTTCATCTGGTGTGGGAAAGGCTTTAATTGTTAATATTTTACTTCCCCAAGTTGTGGTTATGCAGTATACAGGCTGTTGCTGTGGCAGTTAAGAGAGTCTGTTTTTGCTTACACTTGTGATAACAGACGTCCGGGCTTCACTGTAACGCTAGTGTGCTTATACGCAAAAGGAAATCTAGAAATGTTCAACTAATCTTTCCTCTTTTTAGATGACAGAATAGTGAGGGAGAGTGAAAGAAAATCTGCCATGCTGCATTTTGGCCTAAAGAGAAAAGAGGATTGTTTATTTTCTGAAAAAGAAAGCGTAAGGTAAGAAAGTTTGTTTTGTGTTTAATTGATAGTGCCCTACATAGTGATTTGATGTTCCTTTGCCAGGTAGACAAAGTCCCTGGAAATAAATATAACAAACCCTCTGCCATCAGGAATCTATGGGTATGTCTAGCCAGGGATAAAAAACCCACGGCTGGCTTGGGTCAGCTGACTCAGGCTCGTGGGGCTTTGGCTTCGGGGCTGAAAAATTGCTGTACAGACATTTGGGCTTAGGCTGGAGCCTGAGCTCTAGGACTCTGCGAGGGTGGAGAATCCCAGAGCTCGGGCTCCCCTGAGCCCGAATGTCTACGCAGCAATTTTTAGCACCATGAGCCCGAGTCAGCTGACCCTGGCCAGCCACAGCTGTGCTGAGGGTCTTTTATCCCTGTGTAGACATACCCTATGAGTCTCTGGGCCAAATTCAGCTTTGGGTAAGGAGATGCCACTCAACTGACTTCAGTTTGGCCCTGACGGTAAATAGTTACTATCCTTTGGAATTATCTCCTGTAGAAATCAAGGGCTGTAAAAAATGATTGGTACTTTACTGTTCTGCCTAAAATCTGTTCAACTCTGATTATCTAAAAAATGACTAAGCACTACAACGGAAGGGAATATTATGGAACACACCTTAGCTATATCACTGGGAAATCAGTCTTTCTTTGCTTTGTGTCAATTTGCTAATTCATAGGGTTTTGTATTATTCAACTCAAGTTTTCTCTAAATTGTTTCAGTTCTTTACAGCACCATAAGTTGTACCTGTATTTACAAAATATATTGCTTTGGGTTATGCTACCAAAGGCAACATGCAACATGATTAACTGGCACACAGAAGTATATAATTTCTCTGAATATAAAAGGCAAGCTTTTGAAAAGAGCCCAGATTCCTTTTAGGTGCCTAACTCAAGTGGCAAGATTTTCTACCTTTGAAAATCTGGCTGCTTCAGCTGGGTGCCTAAACAGGACCTGAGCTCTTTTAAAAATTGGGCCAGCAGTGTTTTGCAATGTCTTATTAACACCAGACATGCAAGTGCTTGTCATGTATAAAGCAACTCTGTCTGTAGCCCAACTTCCCTAAAGGACCCAAATACAACAGTGGTAGGGATTTCCTTTTTCCACTCAACATACAGCATAAGTCATAGTACTTCTCTCTCCTTGCTTCACCAAAGTAACAATCAACAATATTTTAAATGCTGCAAAGGGCTCTGTTCCAGATTGGCATATACAAGTCTTGAAAATCTGTTTACATACCAGTAACTCTTTACAAATATTTTAACAAAATGTTGATCGCATTTACATAGCTGAAACAGTATAGAGAGAGGGTAAAGTGCCTGAACCCTGAGATATATTCAGCATATTTTTCTGCCCTGTCTCTGACTAAACCCATTGTGATCCCCATCCCATGAGGTTCTCAGTGCCTCCTGAACAGTGATGATTGTTCCCCAACTCCCATTGTCTTCACGGGAAAATTAGGGATCTCAGCCACTTCCAGGACTGACCATTTTACCATTGTCTTCAAAGGAAGCAAGATTAGACCATCCGATCTGAATCCATTTTAAGTTAATGTAAGGGCTTGTATACATGACCATTTAGTTCACAGCAAGCTGGAATATGAATCTACCCCATGCTAACCTGCCACACACTAACTTTCCATATGGACCCTGCTGATGCACACTGAGGGCTTGTCTATGTGGTGCTTTAAAGTGCACTAGCTGGGGTGTGAATTCTAGTGTGCACCATAGTGTCGCACATTAACTGGCCATGTGGACCCTGATGGCACTCACTAAAAGTTCCATAGTGCATGATGATATCATCCCATTTCGAACAGTCCTACATCCGTGTGCACTTAGGGAATGTGTAGTGCCTGCCAGGAGGGTCCATGCAGCCAGTTAGTATGCAATATGCTTGTATGTGCTAGAATTTATACCCCAGCTGGTGTACACTAGTGCACTTTGTAGACAAGCATTAATAGTTCCTTAGTGCACTTTGACTGAGTCCCGTTGCAAAGCAGGATAGATGAAAGCACACTAAGGAACTGTTTGTGGACCCTGCTGATGCACACTAACAGTTCCTTAGTGTGCTTTGATCTACCCCACTTTGAAACGGGACTGGTCAAAGCACTCTAAGAAATAGTTAGTGTGCGGAGATAGATTTACACCTCAAATTGCCATGAGCTAAATGTTTGAGTAGAACAGCCCTAAGAAAATTGTCACTCTTCTATGCTGGGATAGACAGTGGTTTACTTTGCAGCAAAGCCCGTTGCCAACTGTGTCCACATATCTATTCAGGGGACACCATCATAGGGCCTAATCACATCAGCCACACTATCAGAGGCTCGTTCACCTGCACATCTACCAATGTGATATATGCCATCATGTGCCAGCAATGCCCCTCTGCCATGTACATTGGTCAAACTGGACACTCTCTACGTAAAAGAATAAATGGACACAAATCAGACGTCAAGAATTATAACATTCAAAAACCAGTCAGAGAACACTTCAATCTCCCTGGTCACTCAATTACAGACCTAAAAGTCGCAATATTACAACAAAAAAACTTCAAAAACAGACTCCAATGAGAGACTGCTGAATTGGAATTAATTTGCAAACTGGAAACCATTAAATTAGGCTTGAATAAAGACTGGGAGTGGATGGGACATTACACAAAGTAAAACTGTTTCCCCATGTTTATTTTTCCCCCCTACTGTTCCTCACGTTCTTGTCAACTGCTGGAAATGGCCCATCTTGATTATCACTTGATTATCAAAAGGTTGTTTTTTTTCTCTCCTGCTGATAACAGCTCACCGTAACTGATCACTCTCATTATAGTGTGCATGGTAACACCCATTGTTTCATGTTTTCTGTGTATATAAAATTGTCCTACTATATTTTCCACCGCATGCATCTGATGAAGTGGGCTGTAGCCCACGAAACCTTATGCTCAAATAAATTTGTTAGTCTCTAAGGCGCCACAAGTACTCCTGTTCTTTGTGGTAGAAGAGAAAGTGGTAGATCAGAAACTTTTGATATCTATGGCATGCCCTTTAAACCAGTCATATTTTTCTTGTCTGTACTTGCATCCAGAGGGTGGGGGTATTCTTTATAAAATGTAACTGGTAAGAAATGACATTTTGAGGAAGTAAAGGAGTGTAAACAGGGTACTAAAATTCTATTACATTTGGGTACAGTCGCAGGGCTTGATTCTGCCACTCTTACTCATATTACTCCACATCTAACCCTGGTAAATCTCTTTTCTGTTGCAGCTGTAGGGAGAATACAGTGAAGAACTATGCAGTAGATAAAGGCACTTCTTCAGTATCTAGTTTAGATATTGATAGTAGCAGAAATCAAACTGGTAAGTTGCTTCTTACCAATTAATGTAGCAAATACAAAGATGTATAGTAGGCCTGTATACAAGGTTGGAAATATGCAGGTATTGAAAATACAGGAGGAAGCGTAGCCTCATGTTTTGTTCTAACTAATTTTAGAAATCACTCAATAATTAGCATCTCTTTAAAAGGAAAAAGTTCAAGCTACTGACTACAGTCCATGTACCAAAACTAAAGTGCACTGCCTTTGAGATTTGGCTGTGTAGATCCACACTCTGGGCTTTGTGCATCCCCCATGCTGCTAGGTTAGAATCTGCTGTAAAGGAGTGATTGTTGGGGTCCTGGGGGTGTCCCATTGTGAGCCCAAATATGAGGCTGAAAGGTATTAAAAAAGAATGCACTCCCAACCTTTTCATTTCCTTTTTGGTCACGGGCTGCTCTGGGCTTCAAGGACCTTTGGCCCCCTTTTTGAGCTCTCTTACTCTTTAATAATCATCCTGCAAGGCCCAGACATTAGTGAGTGCACAATGTGCACGGTGCATGTTTTTTAGGGAGAGGTTTTGAAAATTGCAAATGATCAGGTAGTTCTTTCTGAGAATCAACGCTTCTCCCATAATAAAGCAACCGCTTTCTAGTTACCTCTGCAATGTTGAGTCATGGCTTCTAATTATTTTCTGTTTAACAGAGTCAAGCCAAAAGCAGTTAACTCATAAACTTCTGTTAAAATGCCAAGCAAAGGATTCCTCAATAAACACTTCATCTGCTTCTGCAGTACAGGCCAGCAGCTCAGCCAGAGAGAATAAACAATGCAGCAACACACTGGGAACACAAGTAAGACACTCTTGAGTTGTTGTTTAAGCACTAACAGTATGCTTGCACATTGCCTGCTTTTCTTTTAAGTGACTTGTATCTATTTTTGGTGATGCTTTAATTTTTTTTCTCCTTCCTTCCTTAGCAGTTGTATGTAATATGAGTGCAGATTGGATGGATAGCATAGTTTAGTTTAGCTTTTTTCTTTTACTTTAACATCATTTAAAAGGCACATTAAGTTCAGTGCAAAAATCTTTATGAATAGAACCTTAAGATTGGGAATTGAAATGCACAATAGTCAAGAAATTCGTAACTATGGTTCCTACAGCTACAATAAGTTGCCCACATATTAGGCCAGCTCAGATGTCCCAGAACTGCAGTTGGTACACATAGGGGCAGCATAGATAGCTTGATCCCAGGGCACACTGAATGGCTTGCTCTAACGTGGTAATAACAGCCCCAAATTGACGGTGTGGCACATGCTCTAGCCATGCCGTTAGCTCTCCCCATATGCTCCATATTGGCAGGAGTGGACAGTGTACCTCCACACTGGCTTGCCACCACCACCTGGTGACTCCCATCCACAAGGGGAAACTCCATTTTCCATCCTCTTTGGGCTACTTGAGCTGAGGCTATACTCTGATTCATTGTACCTACAGCTATCAGCTTAAAATCATAAATGGGTATATAGACTACTTCAGACATGCAGCGTGACCTAGTTCCCCTGGGTGTGGGAATCTTTACTTTTGATTGTCCTGATGTTTGTGTTTAATTCTTAACCTTAATGCAGACTTCTAATGAAGCAGACGTACTGTGGGTTTGAATTCTTGGTGCTAGTGACTTCATGTTTGAAAAGCTTCTTTTAAATTTGTGTTCAAGCCTGCACTCTTGTGTTCTGCACCTAATTTGTTATCAGTGTTGCCATCTGTAGCCATAGAAAGTCTCTCTGTCTTGTAGCCTGGACAGGATGGGCACAGTTGCAGTCCTTTCACTCAGGGAGCACAAGGGCTAGACAAGCCCATGGCTTCACATTTTCAAATTTTCTTTTAATAAGTGGATGACTCGGACCCTTTTGTGTCGGTACGAAGTGCATGATTTGATGTTTCAAATATTTTTCAGCTGGAAGAAGTGGCAGGAAAACAGTTGCTGAATCACAGTCATCTGGAAGATGGTAAATCTTTCAATCTTCAATTTTCTTTCAACAATGGGACTTTTAATTCTTTCCTATACCAATAATAATCCTGTAATTCTTTTTCAAATTCATCCTGCTGCACTACTGAATCTAATATTAACATTGGAACAATTTACCTCTGCTTGTGGTGGATTCTCTATCATAGGCAAATTTTAAATCCAGATTGGGTGCTTTTCTAAAAGATCTGCTCTTGTACAAACAGGAATGAATTCCAGGAAATCCTATGGCCTGTGCTATATAGGATATCAGACTAGATGATCACAGTGGTCCCTTATGGCCTTGGAATCTCTGAATCTATTAATTGACTGTTCCAGTCGAAGTGGTGCTCTGAGTATAGTTGTCATGTATGTCCTGTACACGATAGGCCGAAGGGCTGCTACAAACAGGTCAGGATTTTGTACCAGGTATGGACTGGCCACGGAGCTTCCTGCTCAGTGATACACACGTAGGTTCACTGTAGTCTCCTTTACTGTTCTATCCGGTATGACCGAGGTTAGCTTAAATAAGGTATATTACAATTTGTTAGTCTCTAAGTCCTGGTCTACACTAGGACTTTAGGTCAAATTTAGCAGTGTTAAATCGATGTAAACCTGCACCCGTCCACACGATGAAGCCCTTTATTTCGACTTAAAGGGCTCTTAAAATCCATTTCCTTACTCCACCCCTGACAAGTGGATTAGCGCTTAAATCGGGTCAAATTTGGGGTACTGTGGACGCAATTCAACAGTATTGGCCTCTGGGAGCTATCCCAGAGTGCTCCATTGTGACTGCTCTGGACAGCACTCTCAGCTCAGATACACGATTGTTTGCCATTGCTCTGACGCAGGGAGGGGAGACTGACGACACGGCTTACAGGGTTGGCTTACAGGGAGTTAAAATCAACAAAGGGGGTGGCTTTACATCAAGGAGTATTTCAGGTAGGACTTCAGGGAGGGTTCCAATAAGAAATGGTGCACCTAAGTTATTGTTCTTATTGGAACAAGGAGGTTAGTCTGGCCTGTGATTCATAGATGGCTAGATTTACCTCGCTGCACCTTCTCTGTGACTGAGTGCTGTGTGACCTAGAGGAATGAGTCCCCTAGACGGGGGGCGGAGGGGGAGGGTTGCAAATGAATACAAAACAAATCTGGTCTATTTCTTGTTTTGATACACTCCATCTATCTTTTACATCTTTGGCTGGCAGCAGACGGTGCAGAAGGACTGCATGCCATCCACATCCCATGGCTGCTCGGCAGAAGATGGTACAATAGGACTGCTAGCCATCCTCATCTCTTGCCTGCCTGGCAGAAGATGATGCAATAGGACTACTAGCAATCTGTATCACCTGCGTGCTCACCATAAGATGGTTCAATAGGACTGACTGCAGGACTAAAGAGAATGACCTGATCAAGTCACTCCAAATTTAGTCCCTGCGCCCATGTCTGCCCAGGCGCTCCTGATCGACCTCACAGAGGCGACCAGGAGCACCTCGGACATGACGATGATGGCTACCAGTCCTATTGCACCATCTGCTGCCACAAGGCAATGGGTTGCTGCTGCTGTGTAGCAATGCCGTACCGCGTCTGCCAGCACCCAGGAGACATACGGTGACAGTGAGCTGAGCGGGCTCCATGCTTGCCATGGTATGGCGTCTGCACAGGTAACTCAGGAAAAAAGGCGCGAAACGATTGTCTGCCCTTGCTTTCACGGAGGGAGGGAGGGAATGGGGGCCTGACAATATGTACCCAGAACCACCCGCGACAATGTTTTAGCCCCATCAGGCATTGGAATCTCAACCCAGAATTCCAATGGGCAGCAGAGACTGCTGGAACTGTGGGATAGCTACCCACAGTGCAACGCTCCGGAAGTCGACTCTAGCCTCGGTACTGTGGAAGCACTCCACCGAGTTAATGCACTTAATGCACTTAGAGCATTTTCTGTGGGGACACACACACTCGAATATATAAAACCGATTTCTAAAAAACCGACTTCTATAAATTCGACCTAATTTCGTAGTGTAGACATACCCTAAGGTGCCACAAGTACTCCTTTTCTTTTAGCACCATCTAGTGGTTGAACAGTATAATACAGTCACCTCAACTGCTAGAAGAGGGCCTCCTCCTCCCTGATTGAACTAACCTCGTTATCCCTAGCCTGATTCTTGCTTGCATATTTATACATGCCTCTGGAAATTTCCACTACATGCATCCGACGAAGTGGGTATTCACCCACGAAAGCTTATGCTCCAGTACATCTGTTAGTCTATAAGGTGCCACTGGACTCTTTGCCGCTTTCACAGATCCAAACTAACATGGCTACCCTTCTGTTACTTCAGTATAATACAGTTAAGCATTCCATTACATCTCCTAAGGTTTACATTCCTACCATTTACAAAATGTACACTATCACCCTATCTTTAAAGTTCAGTACAGATCAATGTGTTAAGTATCTCTGAATTGGTACTCTCTCTGTTCTGGTTTTCTAATTACACTAGTAACAATATATAACAACTTGATCATCTGGCAGTCTATTAGTTGCAACGACCGGCAGAGGTCGGTTTGGAATTCTTGAATTTTCTTCTGCATCTGTCATGTGTAAATTTTGCTCGGATTGCTCTTTCTGAGGAACAAACTGTAGATGTTGATAGCTTCTGTTGAACTCTCCACTGTTGGTCTCAGTCACATATGATCAGGGCCGGATTTAGGGACAGGAGACCGAGACAGCTGTCTGGGGTGCTGGGGTTGAGGGGGCACCGGGTGCTGTTTTTGTTGTTAGCATGAATAAATACAACTTTACAGATCCTAGCCTAATGTGCAAATGTATTGTCTTATATGACGGATAAATCATGCGTGCAAATCGTGCATCAAAATAATCAAATGGGCTACAAATGCAATAAAAAATAAGGTATTCAAAAGTTTAACAAATGAGGGGGGGTGCCAAAGACGTTCCTTGCCTGGGGTGCCATTTGGTGTAGGGCCAGCCCTGCACATGATTTGAGCACTGAATTATTTTTCTTTATTACTGCTGTAGTTGGCTATCCAATTTGACACAAGCGTGGTCACCAGGTTTTAGAGAACTGCCTAGTCTACCTGAGCGTCATCTGTTGTAAAAGTTTTCATAAGCTGTTTTTCCTTTTATCTGATTTGGCTACTCTTTGTGTCTGGCCACTTTGGAGATAGATTCTTTTCCAGAGTTGGAACAAAAAGAAAAGGAGTACTTGTGGCACCTTAGAGACTAACCAATTTATTTGAGCATAAGCTTTTGTGAGCTACAGCTCACTTCATCGGATGCATACTGTGGAAAGTATAGAAGATCTTTTTATACACACAAAGCATGAAAAAATGGGTGTTTACCACTACAAAAGGTTTTCTCTCCCCCCACCCCACTCTCCTGCTGGTAATAGCTTATCTAAAGTGATCACTCTCCTTACAACGTGTATGATAATCAAGTTGGGCCATTTCCAGCACAAATCCAGGTTTTCTCCTCCCCTCCCTCCCCCCACAAACCCACTCTCCTGTTGGTAATAGCTTATCTAAAGTGATCACTCTCCTTACAATGTGTATGATAATCAAGAGTTGGAACAGCAGTTCTGAGTTGTCTTCCCGTCAGGAATTGTGCTAGGCTATATCCAGCACCTCCTGCTGGTGTTGTCTCTAGCTCAGAAGAGCAAGGACTGGATTTTCCTGCTGCAGGATTTTCACAAGTGCTGCTTTGCTCTCTGCTCACAAGCACAACTGCAGAGGTTGATAGTGGTTGGTCCAGCTGGGCAGTGGCCCCTCCATCATAGGTCCCCTGCCAGCTCACCAATGTCTCCTCACTGCACAGGCTCCCAGCTCTCACACCCTTTACTTGTTGCAGCAAAAGAGTTAAAACTTCAAAACCATTAGCACTGGATCTTGCAAAGTCCACTAGAGAAGTATGTTACTCTCTTTGAATTTCCACTGTTTGAAAGTTGTTGGAGATTTTGGGGGGCAATGAACATCACAAAAAGAACATGATTGTGAATGGTGACAGGTCATCTAAATGTGAGGCTTAAGAGAAATGGTGGAAGCCCCATCATTTGAGACATTTAATACTGGAATTTTTCAAGCACTGGGGAATATGTTGTAAGGAATAATCCTGAATTGGTTCTTGTAGGAGAAGGGATAGCTGAGATCTAATGGACCTTTTCCATCTCTAATGTATGATTTCATAAGTGTGTACAACATAAGACATGTTACATTCAGGTGCCTGCTTTCTTATGATTTCTTTCTGTGGGGGCCAGTTCTTCATAGGAGGCTTACAAATGCAGGCAACTTAAGTGCGAAGTTGGAATATGAATAAAAATAACTTTAGGTGAATGTTTTGCAGTTTTCACAATTTTTAACTCCTATGTTTGTGCTTGTTTTTTGCCAGAATACAGATCCCTTCCATCACCACCACAAATGCGTTCATCCCTGCGCTCCCCAGACAAAATAAGAGCCGGACTCACAAGAGGAGGATTTCGGGTGACTTTTTCAGAAAACGATTCCTTAGACTCCTCTCTTGAGAAGGACATAATAGAAAAACCTAATATTTATTACCTTAACCAGGACATTTCTTCAACGAAGAAATTGCATTTGAGTGACACCAACAAAACGAACCCATACAAGTCACACAGAGATACTGGTCTAGATAGTTATGACCACCTCTACCTTTCCTCCACCCCTCAGAACAAGGACTTTAAGAGACTTCAAAAAGATAAGAGAAGTACAAATTTCAGAGATTACAGTGTAAGCCCTGCTAATGAAATTAAGACAACTTCACAGTCCACTAGTAGTGATCTACTGACACAGCACACTGAGATGGACAATAGCACTCGAAGCCTCTTAAAATTCAGTTCAGGTAAAGACATACTTACTTTTCTTAATGGTTTTACTTTTGAGAGGTTCAGGCCATGGCAGGGAGGATTGTATTTACTGCCATTCCTACTTTTGTGGCCACTAAATGAATTTTAGGCCCTGGCTAACCTACAAATAAAAGCCATGTTCGTTCCAGGATATGAGAGAGACAAGGAAGGTGAGGTAATCTTCTATTGGACCAGCTTTGCTGGTGGAAGATACAAGCTTTCAAACTACACAAAACTCTTCTTTGATCTGAGGAAAGAAATCAGATTGTTTGAGTTAAATACAAGTTGGGACAGATAGTTAAGCATAAGAGGTAACGTGTTGTAGGAAGTCACTGGAGATAGAGTAGGCAATAAGGGTTAGCTTGTTTATATAAAAAGAGTTTGAAGTGGGCCATTAAAGTTTAGCTAGCAGGTGTGTATTACAGGTTTTTGTAATGAGCCATGAAACCAGTGTCCCTGTTAAATCCATGGCTTTTAGTGTCTAGCAGCATGAACTTCAGTTCCCAGGCTCATCTTTTGAAGACGTTGTGTAGGTTTCCCTTGAGGATGAGTATTGAAAGATTGGGTATGGAGTGATCATTTTGTGAAAAGTGTTCGCCCAGGGGTGATATGGTGTGTTTGTCTTCTATCACTTTTCTGAGTGAGTTCATTTGAGAGCGTAGTGATTGTCTGGCTTCACCCACATAGCTGTTGGGGCATTTGATAAAACCCTGTCAGGGAGCATGATTATAACTCAGTTGTCCCCTACGCTGATTGCAAATATAGTTCCAGATAGCAGAGGAATCTCATAATCAGAGTAAAGCCTGATCTGGACAAACACCGTGAAGGGCCAATGTACATTACGAGTTGGAACCATGTTAAGAAAAAAAACAGTTTTAACCAGACTCCCTGACAATTTTATTTGTGGAGTAGATAGGACCTTGTTTTTACCTCTCTATCCACGTGTGTCATGGGCTGACTCTAGGTCTGTTGAGGGGTCCATATTTGACTAGTTGCAGAGCTCTGAACGCAAGCTCACTTAGATTGAAGCCTCTTTTAGATTCCTAATATACTAGCACAGGTGGATTTCTCTTGTTTTCTTTTTTATTAAGGCAAAGTTACAATAAAATGGTAACATGCTGCATGATACGTTATTTATTCAGGAGCAGGTTAATATTCAAAGAGGCCGGCTAAAGATTCTGGCTTCTTAGCTAAGGAGCTCTCCTCCGCACTAAAAAGCGTGATCAAATTTCCAAATACCTATACTCTTTTTGGTTCTTCTCTTTTGTACTTGATGTGAAAGCTTTTTCATTACAAGGACAGTCCATGTTGTGCTGTACCACAACTCCAGTAGTGGGAGGGGTCACACCTTTCCAATAATCATGCAATACAAAGCTTACCTTCTAATAATAAACAAATACATTAATTTGATCAAAGACATAACTAGGCATTTTAGCACCTGGGGCGAGCAAGCATATTTGTGCCCCCCGAGAGGTGACGCTTTGGGGAGCACATGGGGTCATGCGCCCACTCACATTTCTGCCTTCCATTTAGCACTGAGGTATTCAAACTGTGGGATGAACCCCACAGTTTGAAATCATTGCATCCTTCCAGGAGCCGGTGGATTGGAAGCTGATGGGAGCTGCTCGGGCCCCAGGCTCTTCACACTGTGGGAGCAGGGGTGCTGCCCAGCCTCCCTCCCTGCCCTGCTCCCTGAGCCGGGCTGCCTCTGCACAGCCAGACACTCCCCAGGCATGGTGAGTGGCACAGCTCCGAGCTGCACCCCTGATATGCTCTTGCCCCTTCCCCAAAGGAGCCCGGCACCACTGACCTGGCTCCTCAGGAGCAGCAGCAGAGTCAGGAGCGCCAGGGCAGTGGCGAGTAAGGGCATCTGGTAGCACCTCATGGCAGTCAGGCTACGCGGGCAGGGGACGGCCCTGGGGGTGTCGCTGGCTGGTGCCGGGCTCTTTCAGGGGAGAGGCATAAGTGCTTCAGGGGTGCTGCTCGGAGCTGTGCTGACCAATCTGCCTGGGGAGCGCCCAGCCTGCTCCAGAAACCTATCTCCTGTACTGCCCAGCCCTCTCCTGGGCAGCGCAAATATATTGAATCCATTATTCCTTTAAGTGCACCAATTTGTTACCCCAAATGGAGTTTCCCAGACCCTTCAATTTAAACACACTGGATTAGCTAAAACAATAAAACAAGTTTATTAACTACAAAGAGAGGGTTTAAGTGAATACAAGTAATGAGCATAAAAGTCAGAAATGGTTACAAGAAAAATACAGATAAAAGGCTTAATAATTCCTAACTTACCAAACTATATTAGATTCAAGCAAAGTTTCTCACCACATGCGTCCAGCACATTCTAAGATTACTGACCAGACTCTCAAATCAGGGTCCTGCCCCCAGAGTCCAACACCTGCTTCCTTTGTCTCTTCAGGTGTAATTAATGTGATTGGCAGGGAGAGAGAGGGGGGTGCCTTAGGGTGTTAGTCCCTCCCGTTTATAGTTTCAGTCCCCCTCTTGAAAAACATTTCCAGCTGAGAACCAGGAGCCAAAGAGTTTGTGTGGAAGGATGATCCCTGCTGTTTTTTTCACCTGTTTGAACTTCCTTTTGTCTTCCCTTCCTGCTTGATGGCTCTGTTTACTGCTTAAATGCAAATTCAGCAGAGCACATGTTCCTTTGTTTAGGACAGTCCTGTTTGCCAACTTCTGTTTGGACAGTGTTGTGGGGTTTGGATCTTCTGTTAATAACACCATTCAGAGGAATCTTATAAATTCACATTCAATGGTGCCACACATTTTACCAGGAGAATACTGATCAGCAAATTGAGTGTTCAAATGATACCTTACAAGGCCTATTTTGTACAATGCTTATTACAGTCGTGTGTAGGGTGTGAATACAAGGGTGTCTATTCTGTCACAACTGGATAATACTTCTCCCCTACCCCATGACTACAAGGCTCATCAGGAACTGTTTAAGAGGATGACCACAGCTCTTGATATTTAAATGGAGTGAGAAGTCACACAGACTGGTGGATGTTTTAGCCCTGGCAAGTACCTGTAGAGTAGCCCTCCCATCAATGAGTCTATCCTTGAGCCCGGCAAGGTGTTATGCCAGACCCCATCTTCTCTTCCCCCTACTGTAAAGAGAGCAGAAAGGATGTACTGTGTCCCCTTGCAGGGGTTTGAGTATCTGTGTACCATATCCCTTGAGGCTGCCTAGTTGTCTCTGCTACTAATGAGAGAGAATGCGCACCACCAGACATCAGTGCTCAAAGGAAAAGAGACAAAAAAAATTGGGTCTATTTGGAAGAAAAAATTATTCCACAGGAAGTTTACAATTTAGGATTGCAAACCAGCAGGCTGTGCTGGGTCATTATGATTTTACCTTGTGGGAAATGTTTTAAGGGTGAAGAACAGGCTACTGGATGAGGTGAAACAGGAGTCTGCTGCAATAGTGGATGAGGGCAAATTAGTGGCCAAGATGGCTCTCCAGGTCAGTCTAGATGGGGATAACTCTGCTGCTCAGGCTATGGCCATTGATATGGAGAGGTGTTCATGACTCCCGTCCTCCAGAGGTTCAACTCAACAGCCCATTTAAGGTCTCCCATCTAAGGGTCCTTTGCTGTTTTCAGGCAAAACAGATGATAGGCTGTGTAGCCTAAAATATTTAAGGGCAACACTTAAGTCTCTGGGCATCTGTATGCCAGCAACAAAAACAAAGCGGTATCACCCTCAGCATCCTCACTGGTATCCAGCTTTTATGCCTTGTATCCAGGACCTGTCCAGACAGAAGAGCAGAAATTACAAGATGCATCCACCTCCTCCCTCATCTTCTGCAGCCGCTACTTCTTCTTGGCAAGCTGGTTTTTCCAGTCAAGCTTCTTGACACGATGGTCGAGGACAGACAACCGGTCCCCAGCATGCAATCATCTCCTACCCTGCTATTTGTCAATCGTTTATCCCACTTCCTATGAGCGTAAATGACTTTAAGCTACAAAATGTGATGCTCAAGTGGGGCTATATCTTTCTGGCCCCTATACCTATGACTGTAGCAGAGAGCCTTAAAATATGAAGCATCTCCTGTAATGTCAGTGGCTTGAGAATAAATGCTCTTCTGGTGATCTGGCAGAGTGCAGTGATCAGCAGTCACATGTGCATGGATGTGGTGGGAAGTAGTATGAGGACATGACAAGAAGACAGTCATGGCTACACTGTTACCCAGGGTTCTTTCAACCCAAAGATCTTGGTAACTTTTACTCTGTGTGAGTGGTGTCAGGTAATAAATCGGGAGACACGGCCGTCCGACCGATAGATGGTTGGCACAAACCGGACAACACCAGAGTGCTTTCACTTAAAGCTAAACTTTACTTAGTCTCAAGCACTTATGCACACGTCCGCAAGAGGTTAGTAAAACACCCCCAACCCTTGATAATTACCAAAGCTGAGTGTGGCTCTCGAGTGGCACAGTGGCAGCCCGTCTGCCGCTGGGAAACACAAGATGCATCCAGAGAGAGAGAGAGTCCAGTCCTGAAGAGTCCCCCTACCTCAAACTTTTTCCCCTTATTTATACATTAGTAATAGAATGACATGTCCCTTAAAGCAAACTTGTTAAGTAAGCAGTCTCAATGGTCAAGCAAGAGGTTCCTTCTGATTATCGATTAACCAGGTGTGGGTTTTTCCAGAGTTTGCAGCCTTGAGGCCCCAATAGACATTCCTGGGGCACATCCTGCTCTTCTAAGATACATGTATCAGCAACTTCAACATAATTCTTATCAGGAAGGATGCAGGGTCAAGCTGCCCTTTCTGTGGCACCCAAAAAAAAACCCTCCCCTCCTGCCTTGGTTAAGCTAAGCCTGCTGACTTGGCTAATTTACAGCCTGCTGACTTGGCTGCTTTTAGCAATAAGCCATAGTGGTTTCAGGCACTTTACTGGTTTGCCAAAGTGTCCCCATACAACACTACCTAGCCAAGAAATGTCATATGTCTTCCATTCCTCCCAGTCTTTTATTATTTTATTCCACGTTGGACAGTAATGCCCTTTATATTTCTCCACAATATATTTAAATATTTTAAAGATTCCTTTACCCGTTTAAATGTAGGTAGCTGACAACAGTTTGGTTTGACCCTTTGGGGAATAGTAATTCCTACCATTTCAGATTTTTTGTAGTTCATGTGGAAGCCCTGCTACCTGCCCACATTCCAAAGTCAATTGTTCTATAATTTTTAACAGGGTTTCTGGTGCCTGCAAAAACAAGACCTTGTCAGCACGTACAAAGCTATTTGGTGTTCTCATCCAGAAGGCATTTTGATGCCCTTTACCATGGGACTGTTTCTCACATTTGTTGCAAATGGCTTCATTGCAAAAGCAAACAATGGGGGGGGATAACCAGCTACCTGGTCTTGTACCTTTAAACAACTTACAAGGAGGGGATAACAAAATTCTTTTGTTTCCAATTATTAATCTTTTATGTCGAGTTCCTTTACAGTGTTGTGTACATAACTAGGAATTCTTGCATTGCTTGTTTCATTTACAGCTTGTGTATACAGTGCTTCCTGTGACTGAAGGGGGTGGAGGTGAGAATTTGAAGCATAATCAATCTCCATTGACTAAACTTACTAGGACGGTTTTCTAAGGGAACATATCTATCAAATGTTTTCATGTAGATCCATCTCTCTTTTCCACACTTAACCTCATAAGACTACCCTCCTTTCAGACAAGATGTCTGCAAAGTGATGCATCTCCCACATTTTGCCTAAAATTGAATTAATATTTGTTTAATTAGATTATTTTTGATATAGTGTAAAAATGTTGATTCTACAGTCACATTGCAGATCATTGATCATTTGGCAGGCCTGGACATATTCACTCAACCTGGCCTACATCTATCCACTGCCCCAGCTGTTCCCACGCTATGCCCTTCCCAGAAACACAGTCACTCAGTGTTTTGGGTTTGTTTTTGGTTTGTTTGGGATTTTTTTGTTGTTGTTTTATATGAATGACCCCCTTGACACTTTATGTTAGAATCATAGTCCTTCCTTTTCTGATAAGTAAATGTGAGTTACTGCTTAGCGGAGAGCACAGAAAGATACACGGGGGAAAGGAGGATAAAAATGTCTGAGAAGGTTAATCTGCATTCCTGTTTTCCTTCCCCTAGATCTGAACACCAATACACACCTAACCAGCGAGCCTGCTCTGTTAGCCACTCGTTTTTCTACATTATCTACGAGCTTCAGTGATTTAACATCAAGGCATCAACCTTTATCAGCTGAAGCGTTGCTTGAGCAGTCACAGCTAGCAACGAGAAAAACATTCCCATCTGCAATGCCTAGGAAAGACAGCGAATCGGCAGCTAACAGGTGCTTGAGCCCTTCTAGAATGGGGTATAAACAAAGTGACAGACTGCATTCATCACTGTCCCCTCAGCATTGTTTTAAAGAGTCAAATAAGGAGGCAAGTGTCTTGCTATTTAGCCTCTTTGCTGTACAGAAATGCATTTACTATTAATGGAGATTTATATTGGCATCTCATTATAATATGCCTGTTTGTAACAGAAAATGATTGTAAAAGCTTTTATGGTGTGGCTATGTTTTTGTATGATTATTCTAAATACTACAAAACTGTAGAATGCTACTTATAATGGGTTACGTAAAATAACATACAAAAGGTACTCTAAGAAAACAGTACCCCAACTTGAGTAAGCAATAGATCCTCCTCTGACACTACCTGGCAGCACTTAATTTTGAATCCAGGATCTTGCAGACTTGGGGGTCCAAACCTAGCAGCACTGGGATCACATTAATATGGAATGTCCAGTCTTAGAGATGGAGTTATTGTGCCCACTTTGCACCACACTGGCCATGTAGGTTGGACACAAACTTTGTCTACGTGGTTTGGGGATTATCACCCAAGCACAAGTGTCAACGTGCAGTGGTCTACAGCTGTCTGAGAGGCTGTACATCACATGTCCTCTTCGTTGTAAGGGTAGATGAGAAGGGGACAGGGCTACCAAAAAGGAGGAGTGGTTGTGATGGCGTTGCACCATACTAGCTGTCCTAAGCCTGCTGCTGTTCAGCACCTTGTGGCTCTTACAGGCAGGCATTACATATGCAGCCCTCAGGCTGCTGTAATATAATATACACAGTGGAGGGCATGCACAGAGTAGCACCAGATATATACTGGGTACTAAAGGGTTCTTCTGTCTAGCAGAGAAAGGCAGAACAAGAACCAGTGGCTGGAAGCTGAAGCCAAACACATTCAAGTTAGAAATTAGGCACAATTTTTTAGCAGTGAAGGTGGTTAACTGTTGGAACAAACTTCCAAGGGAGATGGTCGACTCTCCATCTCTTGATGTCTCAAATCCAAACTGGAGGCCGTTGTGGAAGATCTGCTTTAGCCAAAGCTAAGTTACTGGGCTCAGTATGGGGTAGCTTGGTGCAATGTAATGGTCTGTGATATACAGGAGGCCAGACCAGATGATCTAGTGCTCTCTCCTGGCCTTAAAACTAGGAATCAGAACAACACAAGCAGGGACTTTATGCCAGCATTGTACACTAGTCCTGATTCCGACTGTATGCATTTTGTGAATTCCTGAGGATCTAGCCTTTAATGCTTTGGCCTGTGTCTACTTTCTTGTGTCCTCTTAGTTCCATGTACCTTAAAACTGGGACTAATTTGCCACCGCATTATACTCATATAATTCCATGGAAGCCAATGGAATTATACCAGCGGGTCACATGATGCAGTGGAGAATGTGCCCCATGGTAAATTTTCTCAGGTTCTAAGAGAACAGTCTGGGAATTCTTCCATGTCTCAAGGCTCTTGAAAGGAAATATAAAACCATTGTTTACAAAGCATGTAGATGACACAGATATTGCTTGGGTGATCATTAATGATCATTAGTAATGAGCAGTCTGAGTCACTTGGTAAATGGGGCATAGCCAAACATATATTGTAATACGGCCAAACACAAGGTCAGACAGGTAGGGACAAAGGTAGGTCACACTTGCAGGTTGGGGGACTGTGTCCTGGAAACCAGTGACTCTGAAAAGGATTTAAGGGTCATGGCTGATGGAAACCAACTGTTCATGAGCTCCCAGTGCGATGCTGTAAGAGGGCAAATGCAGTTGTTTGACATAGAGAGAGAGAAATGCTGAGTAGGAAGATTATATTAGCTCTGTAGGAGGCCTTAGCGAGACCATTACTGGAAATCGGTGTGAAGTTCTGGCTTCATTTAAGTAAATGGCAAAACTACTATTGGCTTCAGTGGAGCCAGGATTTCACACACTGGGTCCAGTTCTAGTGTCCACAGTTTAAAAGGGATGTTGAAAAATTGGAAAGTGCTCAGAAGAACCAAGAGACTGATTCAGATACAGGAAATGAGAGACTTACGGAGCTCAGACTGTTTAGTTGATGAAAAAGATTAGGAGGCTCCTTGATTATGATCTGTAAATTCCTAAATGAGAAGGCAAATAGTGGAGACCCCTTTGTTAATCAAGTAGAAACCAATGGCTGGAAGTTGAAGTGAGACAAATTCAACTTGAAAATAAGACACTAATTTTGAACAAGTGTAATTAACCGTTGGAACAGCTTCCCAAGGAATGTGTTGGATTGTCCAGCACTTGAAATCTTTAAATCAAGATCAGATGTCTTTCTAAAACATATGCTCTTGAGATGATGAATGAATTACAGTGTGAAATTCTCTATCTTGTGATATACAGGAGGAGAAGCTACATGGTCCCAGTAGTCTCTTCTGGTATCTCTCTTAGTACCCATCTTACTTGTAGTACCTATGTGCAACATATGACTTCAAAGAGGTTTTATGTCCTTAATATAAAGAGAGGAAAAATTCTCTTTTCTTTATGTTTTTAAAGCCCTATGTGATTTATTTAGATTGTATGTATCTTTATGTACATGTGGCCTTTACAAAATGAACCTCATGCAATTGTGCATGTAAATTCAGGCGCCCCTAGCTTACCTGATTTGTGTGAGAATGTATCTTCCTGTGCACCTGGCTGGTTCTGTGCCAGTTGGAAATATACAAGCACAAATACCTGGTTTATGCACGTAAGTTAGGTGCTTGCAAATCTACTGCAAATTTGCAAATCTACTGCATAATTTGCAAATCTACTGGAAAAATAAACAGTTTGTTTTGCCTTTTTCTCCTTAGTTTGTCCCCAGTGATCTGAACAATGATACGAGTTTCACAGAAAGTCCAAGTCCCAAAAGGACTGAGAAAGCATCACATATTGCAGTTGTCCTACAGCAGCTCCTGGAGCTGGTAGATCGTTACTGGGATGGAGCTGGGTCCCTCCTCCTCAACAAGAATTTTCTTGGTAAATTTCATTTGAATGAATAGTTTTAAGTCTGTTTTTGTCTTTGCTGTACCTATCCTCCCAGGCGACCTGAAATTCTTTGGCTTAAACATCAAACTGCTTGCTCCCAATTGGCATTTGTGGATGGGAAGTTATTCTAACTCTTTTGCATTTCATTTAGTGCAATTTCTGGCTCAAAGTGTAACTTTTCCTGCAGTCCCGTCCTGTTACAAAGTGGTAGCTCCCCATTACGTTCTGGAGAATTCTCTTAAGATATGATAATTTTTCATACATTGCTGAGCAGTAAGTAGTGTTTTCTGGGACTCTGAGGTGTGGTTTTCCTTACAATTGCTGCATAGTATATGCTGTACAGGTGTAGTGCATAGTAGAAATGCAAGTCAAGAAAAGCTGCAATAAATCTAGGGCTAGATTCACAAAAGGAGCTAACGACCACTTTAGGCATCCAAATCCAAGAATCGGGCCCCATGGGGATTCACAAAACTGCTACTCAACTGCTCCCAAACCCTGTAGGCTCCAAAAAATCACTCAGCACCTATATTTTTGCAGTAAGAGTTCCCTAGGTGCGTATGTTTCTACCTCTGTGCACTCGCACTACAGCCATATTGCCAGACATCTGGAAGCCTAAGTCCCAGTATGATGCATGAGCTGGGGGAAGAGAGGGGTTCTTCTACCTAACTCGCTTGCAGAGCCTGATCTGGTAAGCATGCTCAGACCTCACCTACCAGACTGGGGTCTGTGATGGGGTGCACTCCCCACACTCGTTCTGAGAGGGCTGAATTAGGCCAGACAGGCCCAATCAGCCAACTAAGCAGCAAAAGAGGGTGATATAGGCTGAGTGGAGAGGGCAGGCCTGGGTTCCCCTACCTGCCACGGGGGAAGTGGCATCAAGGAAAGACTGCGTGAGACTGCTGGTGAGAAGGGACTTTGATACCCACCCCAGAAACTGCACAGGGACCTGGCCAAAGGGCCGAGTCACAAGGCAGCAGCAGCAGCTCCTGGAGTGAGAGAAAGGTTGGAGACCAATAGAGATGGCATGCAACTGCAGTAAGGGATCTTGGCCGCACAGAGCCAGGCCTGCTGACAGAAATTCCAGGGCCAGGGCTGTCCCTAGGGGGGCGGGGCCTGGGACATTCATTGTATAGGGAACCTGGGTACTGAACTCAGGCTTTGGGAACCCCAGTGATTTTCCAGTCACCTGAAAATATGGTGTGACAATGCTCAGAGTCACCCTTCTTAAGCTCCTCTGTGAATCTAGTCCTTAGGGACCAACCAGTATGTCAGAGCTAAACTGTCCAATGTTTTAGAATCCATGCCTTTTCTACAGCTGTGATACTGTTAAGTGCCCAGGTGTCTTGATACTTAGAACTGGTCAGGAATTTCTCAACTAAGCATTTTTCTATCACAAAATCGCCATTTTGTTAATGTTTGGAGGGGAAAATGTTTCCAATTTGTCAAAATGGGACATTGACATTTTCTAAATGAAAAAGTTCCAGGTTTTGGTTCAAAATGATTTTTGGTTTCAAAATACTATAAACTAAGTACTCTTCAAAATTTAAGTAAAAAAAGATGTTCAAACAAAAATGGTTGAAATCTAAATAAAATAGTTTGAAATTATTGAAACAAACAGGAACCAATTTATTTCTGGGGAGATTTTCAGTCTGAAAATTTGAGATTGACTTTTCATCCTGATTCAAGGCAGGAAAATTTTTCAAAATCTTGAAAGTTTCCCCCATATGGGAAAAACCATTTCCCACCTAATGCTATTGATACTGTCACTAAACATGAAACCAGTGCTCTATTCTTCAGACTCTGCTTTTCCAACCCATTTGTTTTTCTGTAGCTCCAGCTCAAGATTTGCTTTTGTACCTTATGGCCTCTACCCCTCCACAGAAGGATGTTCACCTACCAGGTGGGGATAGCCCATCAGTCTTAGCTGGAAATGCTCCCAGACTTCAAAGGACCCAGCTGAAGTATGCTGAGCCGTTTGACAGAGCAAACATGGCTTTGGTATGTGTTTTCCTTTCCTTCCCATGCCTATGTCATATGGAAACAAGGGGATGAACTTTCCAATAAGGAAAACTTCCTTGTAACATAAAAATCCAAAACTGATAATCACTACAGCTAATTACAAAGAGGTGTAAATGACCCACAGATTGCCTTTTTGTCTGCATTCAAGTGGGATTTGTATTCCTTGAGTCCCACTGTACTGTCATCAGACTAGACCTCCTGGGAAGTATCAGTGCAGTGGAAGTGTCAAATGGGAGCACTTTTTTATTGACAGTGCCTTGTGAGAGCAGGGTCTATCTTGGCTGTGCCTCTGGTGGTTCGAGAGTTTTATGGTATTGCATTTGATTTGCAGTGTAATATGTTAATATGTAATAAAGGGACATTGGCAGGGGAAAGATGTATATTAAAAATCATCCGTGATCTAGGTCACTAACACCATTTCAGGGGGCAAATTTTCAGAGGCACACAAAGTAGCTAGGCACTCAGCTCCCATCTGCCTTTTATGCCTGTAAAATCTTCCTCCAGATTATTAAAAATGAAAGAATTAAAAATAATAATTTATCATGTATGCGGTTTGCCTGGTTTTTGCGCTCCATGCAGTATGACCAATGGAAATAGACTAGTCACTTTTACCTTTGTAGCTAGATGGTTTCATTTTCTGCTTCTTTTGCAGCAGTGCATGAATAGCCATCACTTTACATAGCAATTTTTATCTTCAGAGCAGTCTACAAACATCAGTCCAGACCTCATCCCTCTGAGCAAGTTTACACCCTGTTACAGAAGGAGAAACTGGGGCAGAGAGGTTTTGTGACTGGCCCAAAGCACAGGGTCAGTCAGGGGCAGGGCTGGACTTTCTATCCCCAACCCCATGCTCAGTGTTCAGGTTGCAGCCACTGCAGGGGAAATGTTTACATCCAAAGTTAAAAACTGTTTTCAATTAAATCCTTTAAACAACGTATAGAAAAACATTTCTGTTTAAATCCGGTTCCTGACAAACCTTGAACTACCTGCCAGTGTCCCTTAAGTGCCTTTTCTATTTTATTGGTTTTTAAAGTATTTGGAAATGGCAGAACTTCCCCACACTCTGTTAACAGCTGAAAGCACCATTTTTCTTTAAGAACGCATTTCAGCCAAGTCTTTAAAAGGTGAGGTGCATTGGCTTTGGGGAAGAGCACAGCGGCACTGCACGCATTTGCATTCATCACTGCACAAAGGGCCTGATATACTGACCATCAAAACCAATGGAAAGACTCCTCTTGGCTTTGACGACGAGGAGTCCTTGTGATACCTTAGAGACTAACAAATTTATTTGGGCATAAGCTTTCGTGGGCTATAACCCACTTCATCAGATGTGTAGAGTGGAAAATACAGTTGACAAGAAGGGGTGAATATCAACAGAGGGGAAATTACTTTTTATAGTGCTAACGAGGCCAATTCAGTCATGGTGGATGTGGGCCATTCCCAACAGTGGACAAGAAGGTGTGAGTATCAGAGGGAAAATTACTTTTTGAGTGACCCATCCACTCCCAGTCTTTACTGAGGCCTAATTTGATGGTGTCCAGTTTGCTAATTAATTCCAGACTTAAAAGTGGCAATTCTTCAACAAAAAAACTTCAAAAACAGACATTAATGAGAAACTGCAGAACTGGAATTAATTTGCACCCACTCGGTAAGACAACTCACAGCTTTTCATGTGCTGTGTATTATACCTGCCTACTGTATTTTCCACTCCATGCATCTGATGAAGTGGGTTCTAGCCCATGAAAGCTTATGCCCAAATAAATTTGTTAGTCTCTAAGGTGCCACAAGGACTCCTCATTGTTTTTGCTGATACAGACTAATACGGCTACTCCTCTGAAACCTATTGGCTTTAGTGGACATTGGATCAGACTGTAGGAAAACATTTAATTTCTCTTAACGTTTTGATTTTTCAACCTTTTTTATTCTCTGTTGTCAAATACTGGACTGTGTGAAGCAGCAGCAAGCCAAGGGGCAGGAGGAGAGCCATGTGTCATCTTCCCAATTACAGGAAGTGGACTACACTGCTGCTTCTAATTACTGCTTCAGTGGGACTCACTCACTCACTTACGGTAGGTTCACAAGGCTTGGTTTTGGCTTATTATATGTAATATGATTGTGTCTGAATTACTCTTTTCTCCTTGCTGGTAAGTGCTGTTATTGCAGCTCAGAAGAGTTAGAAATAAGTCCAAGTGCTGCTCAACACTAATACCCTGAGAAATGAAGGATCCGTTTTCCGCCAGAAAGGCTGTAGCATCTAATTAGTGGTGTTGTGATGGTTCTCGGGGTGCCCAGGACTGTGAGTCACTGTTACACCCCTGCCTCTAGCCTGAGGGAGTCTTGCTTGTGGTAACTGGGTGTTAGCTCCCTAACAGCACCAGCCTTTCAGACACTCAAGCATTCTCCCCTGGGCTATGCCAGTCCTGGCTTCATCTTGCAGGTTAACAAGAGGTGCACTCCAGTCCCCAAGTCCTCTTGAAACATTCCCCTCTGATAACCAGCCCCTGCCACAGACTACTCACAGGAGTCCCAGATCTTCTCCTCCCAAGGAGTAGTTTACTAATTTTACCTTAAATCACTGTTCCTGTATACCACACAGCACTTATAATAAAACAAGAAAAAGGTGGAACTCCTTGCCAGAGAATGTTGTGAAGGCCAAGACCATAACAGGGTTCAAAAAAGAACTAGATAAATTCATGGAGGACAGGTCCATCAATGGCTTTTAATTAATTTCAGGGTCATTGCTTTCTAGAATACAGTCACCCATTCTGTGGCCTACATTTTTTGTTCCTAGATGTAGCATCTTGAACTTGGCCATATTAAAATTCATTTATCAACACAATTACTCTTAACAATTGGACTTTAAATCTTGTCAAAGTATATCGAGTTCATTTCATAAGATCTATTTTACATGAACCCATGATGAGGGGTATTCATTTTGTTTCCACCCTTTAACTCTTCAGTGATAGAGTATTGTCACTTGGCTTGCGTGTTTGTGCGTGCTTTCCGTGTGCTTTCCCAGCTCTGCGCAGAGAGGTGGTTCAGCAGATCTTGATAATACTACCCAGCGTGGTTAAGTGCTGGGGGCTGGAATATTGTTGCCTTGGTAGCACTGTTTAAGCTGCTCAGTGCTTCTGTCCTTGAAGTTCAATGTTATTAGCAAATATGGCAGCCTGTGAACTAACGCTGCACTGTTACTCAAAGACAGACCACAGGCATGGTTCAGTGACAAAGGCACTCGGCCAGGTTTATTGCCATCAAGACACAGTCCTAGGGCCCTGGCTCAGTGGTTACAGGTACGCTAACACGAGTGCCCTGGGTCAAGGACAGCTCAGGCAGCAACTGGACGTTCTGCTGCCACCTCAGCTGAACAAAGAATCAAGGCAAAGTACCCCAACATTTATAGGCTAAAAAAACCAAACTAACATAAACAAATGCCATGAAATGTGTAAGCTGGGTGTTACCCTCCCCTTGTTCCTGATATCTTGGACAAAACATCCCTATTCATTATGTTGTCAAACTATCTTATCTTGTACTAGTTTGGGATGTATCTGTACTAGCCGGAATATATTTACATAAATATCTAGTGCCTAGTAAGCGAGCAACAGCTTTGCCAAGTTCATGTACCGAACAGTGAACCTGTAAGCATCTGCTTTCCTACAGGGCCTGACTTTGGTTGTGGAATTTGAGAACACCAAAGATTTGGCTGAGGCCAGAGCTTGCAACCAGTAGATGATGCTGTGGGGCTCCTATTTTAACGTAGGCAATCCCCTAACAGACAAACCATAAAATGGCCCTTGAAGTTGCTCCTGAAATAATGTACCTGGAATCTAGATCAAATTACTCAAAATATGAAAATACAGAACTGACTCCTCCTCGGGGTGGGGGGGAGGTCACAGATTATTTGCCAGTTTGTTTAAAATAGAGTCTAGGAATGATGGTGAAAATCCCCTTAGAAACGTGACTTAGAATAATAAAATAAAGTAATAATGAGCTGAGGTTCTACATTCAGTGCAATGGCCTTTCTCAGTCTGTAACACAGGGTTTGAACATCACAACCAGTTGAGTAGAACTGTACTGATTTTGGTGAAAATCGGAAAACCAGAAAGGGGAAAAATGGGGGACACACAGAGTCCATTTCCTCTCTGTTGCAGAGCCATGGCTTCAAGCACCCCTGTAATTACGTAGAGATCAAAGACCTGGTTGATGATTCCAGTTTACACTTTCCAGGATAACAATACCTCATCTCATCTCTGCCCATCTTCCCAATAGACTTTAACATGTTGATATTTTGAATGACTTATCACCCAGACAGAAAGAGGACAAATGGGGAGAGTGGAAGGAAAGAATGGGGATGTGCACACTGAGCCCCTGGCAGGGGGCAGAGTGGGAGACCCTGGGCCTGGGGGGCGGGGGATGGGAGCACACAGAACCCTGGCATGGCTGGAAAGAATGTGGGACCCTGGTATGAGGGAAGGGGAACTGGGGGATACACAGAGACTCTAGCATGGATGGGGAGAACGGGAGACAGTGGCATGGTGGAGAAGGAAACACGCAGGACACACGGAGCTTGTGAGTTGGAGTGGCAAGATGCCAGGAGCCCCTGATTTGTTCCATGAGTTCGGCCTACAGCAGCTACAAAATGTGCAACCCTGTAGTAATAGTAATCATTACTAGTAGTTAATTCTACTCAGAGGTACTATCATTACTATTAATAATGTTAATTACGTATTTTAAAATGCATGTTCAGGCATACAGCTCTGTATTTTGCTGACCCCAACTCACTGTAATTCTTTTAGATGAGTTGCTACATAAGAACGAGCAGCTGAGTGTCCAAGTAGAGTACTTAACTCTGGAATTAAAACAACATAAGAAACTGCAGGAGACTGTGCATCTTCTACAGGAGAGTCAGAGGTATGATGAACGGTCTGATGTAGACGTTTTACACACCTGGCGGCCAGGTCTACACTAGGAAATGAGGTCAGTATAACTATGTTGCTCAGAGATGTGAAAAATCCACACCCCTGCGCGACTCAGTTAACCTGACCTAACCACTGGTGTAGACAGCACTATGTAAGTGAGAGAAGCCCTCCTGTTGCCATAGCTACCAGCTCTCAGGGAGGTGGAGTACCTATGCTGATGGGAGAAGCCCTCCCATCGGCGTCCATATTGTCCGCTGCAGTGCTTTAAGTATAGACCTGCCTGGAGACTTTTTGCAGAAAAAGAGCCTCTGGCCTAATTTTCAAATGTCCCAGTCACACACACAACTCTCATTGAAGTCAGTGAGAACAAACTATGCCCCACACCTCTGAAAAATCAGGGTACACATCAGTGCATTGGGGGGGGTAATAGTTCTGACTCGTTAAATCAAATTGGATTTTAGGCTCATCTCCTTTTCTAAAAATGGGATTGACCTAGATTATGGTGACTCGCACTTTGTCACTATATTGTCTCCACTGTACATTTGTAGAAACATGATTGACTCATCCATAGTGTGTGATGAGCTACTATAATTTTCATTATAAGCCCGGTTTTAAATCAAAGTGAAATTTCAAGCAGATTGATTTTAGAAGCATGAACTTTTAAACAGAGGAGGATTTTTCACAGAGTTTCAGCCAAATTGGACAAAGCATTTGATGATCTCACTTACAACATTTTCAAAAATGTCTTGGCCTAAAACTCCAAATATGTTTTGATCTCGGTAAAGACTTGGATTAGTTCAGGGGGAAAGTATTTATCTGTTCAAAGCAGTTTCCTCGTGCATCCTAAACGCTGCGTGGAGTCCTAAACGCCTCATGACCCCAAGCACACTTTACAAGGTCTGCCCAGTATCACTGGTGTGTTTGCACAGCTCATAAGTTTGTCGGAGACTCTTGATGCTGCGCAGTTCTTCAATATGTTAATAGGCCAAAGCAACACTTTATTTAAATGAATGAATATTGCAGTTTTCTTAAAATACAAACATATTAGCCTGGGGAAAAAAATCAAAATTAAGATTACATTAAAAAAAAAAGAGCTAAACCTTAAAAGTAAGGAACTTTACAGTTGATGTCACGCAAGTAATCTTAAGTCTGACCTTGTACAACAGCTCATAGAACAGCCAAAAACCTAGAAACAATCCTGCATTCATATTATGGACATATAAAATAGCATACTTATTCATTGCAACAGTGACTCTGAAAACTTAGAAGCAATCTAATTAGACACTGGCTATGTACACGCTACAACTTAGGCCAGTATAAATTACTTCACTCAGAGGTGTGAATGAGCCACTCCCGAGTGATGTAAATTACACCGACCTGGTGCGGACAGTGCTGTGTTGGTAGGAGAGCTTCTCCCGATGCCGTAGTTACCGCCACTCGTTGGGGGTGGATTAAGTAAATCGATGGGAGACCTCTCTCCCATCCGCTTAGAGGGTCTGCACTAGCCGCGGTACCCTGGCACAGGTGCAGCTGTAAGCTCTGTAGTGTTGCTGTAGCCTAATGTAGCTGATAGAATTACTCCAGCATTTTCATCAAATTGCACCAGTCTCAATTGGTGACCCCTTCCTTCTTTGAAACCATAGTCAGTCACTGGAAGAAGACAGGCTTTTCCTTATTGAACCCTAAAATGACCATATCAGAGGTTGTGTCGTGCTAGGAAACTCTCAGACATGTAGCTACTATGTGTAATGATCAGAACAACAACAAACAGAGGTAGCTTGCATGCATCAGCGTGTGGGGACGGATCATACTTGCATATCAGATGCATATGTACATAACCAAAGGCACCCATTACTGAGAGTTTCTTGATGGCATGGGAACTTTGCTCAAATATGGAAGAAGTGGATTTAATATATTCACAGGTGTGAACAGACCCCTTTTGTGAATCTAGTCCCATATGTTCTAATGGGTGGTTAATCAATTGTCCATCAGGTCAGTAGGTTTCTTATTATCATCTACAATATAACTCTTTCTACTGATGTGCTTGTAGCTGTCCATAACACATTACTTAGGCCTGTAACAGGTTTATAACGTCAATCATTTTAGCCCCTTATAAACTATTTATAAATGGAACCTTAAAGTGTGACTGCTGTTATAATTGGTTTGAAATACAGAAGCATGAACTACACACTTCATTTTAACTTTTCGTTTGCTATGAATTTGAAGAAATGGAAATTAGTATCTCATTTTGGGGAATACATTCCACATCTTAGCAGAGTTCATTCCGATGAATGTATGCTTATGCATCATTTTAACCGCCTCTTCGCCATCTTGCCCAGGTCTTTAGTGTCCACAAACAACTTTCTGCTGCAACAGCTGAATAAAGAGCACAATCCTAATTCCGTAAAAACAACGCTTTCTTCTGAGAAATTCACCCTTCGTGAGAGATCGCCTCCCTTAGAAAGAACTCCTCCTGTATCAGCACATGGCTCTAGTCAGTATTGTAATGCAGAGCAATTAAGCAATTCTCCTCTCTAAAGTAAACAAGGAGTCACTTCACATACTTAATGTTATATGGATTATGTTCTTTTCCATTTAAGTACAATATGAGATGTCAAACTATATTTAAATGTGTCCACTTTTACTGAAATTAATTCATTATCTCATTCTAATCTTACTTTGCATTAGCATCTTAAGCACCACTTGGTGTTAGCATTCTTATGTTTTTCTGTCTTTATTGATTTACCAAAAAAATACAGAAGGCTCCTTAAAATAAAATGGTAGTCTACAGTCTTGCCATCCCAAGGACGTATGATCTTCGCAGATGCTACAGAGCATGCAGATTCACAGTTCAGAAAGTATTGGTGATTCAGTAGTGCATTCAATTTCCTCTGAAATGGTGCTGAATCAGTTTCCTGTGCTAGGTGGCTGTGTGATTGAAGATCCGATATTTGATATAAATTGTAAAATAAGGTAATGTCCCATGGCATTTTTTGCAAGAATTTGGAGTTCTAAAACCAGTGTCCTGGTGAAATGTTATTTGGGATGATAATCTGCAGGTAATTATTTCCTCTGCAATTTCAGTTTAATACAGAATAATTTCTCTCCCCCATCCTAAAGTGTTGTGTAGTGTTGCTGTTTGCTGCTAACAGCTGTCGTGTTCTACCCTAGAGATGGTTGCATTTCAGCTATGGGATGGTGATTCCAGTATATGTTCCCTGAGAAAGATGTAAAGCGTTAAGGTTGCCTGGTGGTATCTTGTGCTCTTCCACAACATCCGGTTCAATAAAACTCAAACTGTTGAAAACCAGGAAATAAAGCATTAAGGTAATTCAGCTTTTAACGCCTGAAAGGTGGACACCAATGCAACCTTAACTCTGTCCCCCTGGAGCTGGGACTAGCCTTTAGGAGTTATCTGCATGCATTCTAGCTGCATTCACTGGGTTAAGTGTAGCTGTATTGAATGCTGGAGGGATTGGGTGGGGCAGATTAGCAGAACTGTGAATATGATTTGAGGTGATGCGTGGCGGGGGTGGAATCTGAGCACGTCCGTGTGCTGAAAAGCAACGGGTATGTGTGTACCCTGAGGGATGCAGTTTGCCTCATATCAGCACTCAATTGTGTAGTTGTGCCTGTAGCGATACTGAGGGGTCTTCTTCCCCTGGGGATTGTGGGCAGTGAGGTGTGATGTGAGTACTGTGTGGGTGTTATGGTGGAGACATAGAAGTGTTGTGTTAGAGGAACCCCGTATGCAAATATGAAAGGACTGTAAAATGCACGAGTTACGGGGATGTTTGATGGAGCAGGCTCAGTGTCTGCGTGTAGGGCAGGTGGAGGTAGTGCACTGAACAGGAACCTCAGCTACATGCGAGTTTTGCCTTTGATTCTGCCCTACAGTGGGCATGTGCCCTATTGACTGCACGTTCCGCACTATCTGCAAAGGTAGCATATGCTAGAATCATTGCTCAGAGGGCAGAGTTAAGGTGACGCTGGCAGGTACCGTAACTCTCTATTCCCTGGGTTTCAGAGGTTAAATTTTGCTGAACTCAGTGTTCTGGAAAGGTAGGCGATACTACTGAGCAACCTTAAATTCTGCATTAATGAATTTTTTTGTCAGAGAATTTCCTAGTTTTCCTGTGTTATACAGAAGGTCAGACTACATGATCAGAATGATCCCTTCTGGCCTTGGAAGCTATTATTCAGACTTCCTGCAGAGAGGTGAGGCCTCCAATCCCACCACACACATGGGAGAGGGGTTCATACTCCCCAGAGGGGCAGGGCTCTCTGGATCCCAGCTCACATGGAGGGATAGGAGGAGGGGCTCAGACTTCCTCCCAGAGGGGTAGGGTCCTTTTGAGATTCTGGCTCACATATAGGGGCAGCAAGAGGGGATCAGACCCCCAGCTCAGCATAGGGGACAGGGAGAACAGCTCAGATCTCAGAGGGGAAGGGCACTCCAGATGCCAGCACAGTGGCAGGGGAGGGAAGAATGTGGAGGTGACTAGGCCCCTGCCCTTACTGCGCACCTCTCCCATGTTCACCTACTCCATCTCCTCCCCTTCCATTCCCCAAATCCCTTCCCTGTTCCACTGGCCTAAGCCCTCCCAACCCTTCTCCCCTACATCCATCCCTATTTACACCCTCTACCCCCATCCACCTTCCCTCCCTGCACTCTGCCAAACACCCCAGTTTTATCACTGCGTCTCCGCAAGTCTGCATTCCTCTTCATAGATGTGACCCTGCCCCATATTCCCTAGCAGGGGCTCTGTGCCCCCTATGCCCACTTCACCCCATATTGTCCATTCCCTCCACCCCATTCTACCCCCCCATACTAGCTGCTCTGCATGCCCCCATGCCCTACTCCCCCATATCCATATCCCTCAATCTTCCACACACACACCCCCGGCCCAAATCAGGAATTGTGTGAGCCCTATTCCCCTTCCTCTGCAGTCCCACCTTCCCCCCTACCCATTGCAGGGGTACTGTGTGGCCTCCATCTCCCCATTCCAGGGTCCCCCCTTCTCCCCTTCCCCTTGGCAGGGGATCTGTGTGTGCCCCTATTCTCCCCTTTCTCCCCATGCTCCTCCCCCCTCCCACAGCAGCGTCCCCTATTCTCCCTCATGGCAGGGGCTCTGAGTGAACCCTCATTAAGCCCTTTCCCTCTTTCCCCTTCCGTGCCATGCCTGGGGTTCTGACTGTCATTTCCCCCCTCTCCCCATACCAGGGTACCCCACTCTAACTCTGCCATTTCCCACCCCACTTCCCCTTCTCTCCCCCCAAACCAGAGTACCCCATTTCCTCCACCCCGGGCCAGGGGCCTTCCCCCTCACCATTAGTCATCTTTCTGGGTGGGTGATAAGTCACTCAGGATTTCAGCGTTTAAACTCTATTGGGAGGATAGGCAGGGCTGAGATGGGGTATTATTACATTTTTAACAAGTGGATTAACCAGTTGTTTGATCTATAGACAGTGGAAGGGGGTACCTGAGGCAGTGGCTGTGCTAAAGAATTGGTGGGGGCTTCATGTGCCCCCATTAGCCCCCCTTTCAATTTTCTGCTTTTCCCCAAAATCAATAGGGTTCTGGGCACCAATGTCTAGATCTTTCCCTGAAATTTTGGAATTGATCAGTTGCAGCGTTCAAAAATTTAGACAAACAGGAAAAAACAGAGATGCCCCTGAGTTGAGGGTAAGGCCTTGATGCACTCAGTGAAAAATGTCACGCATACTTCCTGTTGAAGGGGCTGTGAATTGGGAACCCCTTGGCTTTAAAGTGATCATTTCCATTGTTCAAGAAACATGATTACATTATCCTGTCTTTCATCTTCCCTCCAGCCATCATCCCTTCCATCTTCCCTCTGTGCTGACTGATCAATCGGGGCTGACGCTCTCCTATGATATTGCAGGTAGAGAAAGTAGCAACATGCCCTGCCATCACTCACACATCTGCGGAGAGCATGTGCAGTTTATTGTCTATGAGAAAGTGGTTTGAACTCCTCCTAAAGTAGGAGTACAAATTAGCAGGGCACAGTCCCCAAAAGTTAAAAAACACTTGAGAGGCAGCTACTAGCCCTGGTCCTACAAATCATGCTCAGATCTCTGCCAAGTGCAGGGTTCAGATTTACGGTGCAGGGGTGTAGCTAGGTTCAGTAGCTATAGCATGTCCCCTTGAGCCAGCCACATCATCGAATCATAGGGCGGCTGCAAAGCCTCTGGCCTAGTCTTGCTCCATAGGCACATTTCACTCTCTTTGTTGCATGAGTGCTTGCCATGTACCGTTCTAGCGAGCTGAGCTCTTCCTTTAATAATGTTTTCAATAGAGCTTCCCCCAAAAGGGCACAAGCTGAGATGAACATTGAGTAACTGGTGGGGGATGATTAAAGCCACGGTTTGAACCCCACGTGTGCAAAAATAAACATTGTAAGAAGCTGCTGATTTTGTGAAATGCTCTTTTGTTTGGGGAGCAGGGTGTATCTCAGGACCACGTGCTCAAATGACACCAAATTTGCACTAGTAACCTCACCTAGCTCCTCCATGGGGCACACAATTTCAAGACAATCTGAATAAGCATGCAGATTTTAGAGTGCTTAGAAGAGTCATCTTTTAAATAGGAGGCACTGCTCAATCTGAACTCAACTGAGCAAAGAAGAGAACACGGATTGAAGAGAGAGGAAACTCACACCTGCAGAATCAAATATATTGTAACAATTCTGCTGGGTTGGACCTCCCCATTCAGGGATGCCACCTGATGTACTGGGATTTCACTGAGCCTGCCTGCTCCACTAGCCTGGGCTCCCCTCTCCCTGTTTTGCTGACTTAGGCTCTCCGGCCTTTGGCCGCACATACACAGGTAGGGACGCACCAGCTGTAGAATCACACAGTCTGCAAACAGCTCTCTATGAGAAGACTCAGCTAAGAAATCGCCCAGCACTCACTTGCAGCTCCCCTCTGAAAAGTACACCCAAAATAATATTGTCTTGCACTGTAGAGAAATGTATTCAACGTAAGTTCATAAATTCACCCCCTCCCTCAATGTGGAGGAAGATATGCACAACTTCTTGCGGTATCCCCAGTTAGAAATTGCACAAACTGGGTTTAATAATAAACCAAAACAAGTTTATTAACTCTAAAAGGCAGATTTTAAGTGATTATAAGGGATAGCAAACAGAACAAAGCAGATTACCCAGAAAACAAAACAAAACATTCATACCAAGCTTAAGATCTTAAGGAGACTGGTTTCCATAAATTTCTCACCCTAAATGTTGTTTTAGGCAAGTTGCAGAGTTTCTGTAGCTTAGAGTTCCAGTTAGTTCTCTTTACAGACTAGACTTCCTGTCTTAGTCTGGACTCAGCCCTTGCCTTTCCTGCTCAGTTCCTTTGTCTCTTCAGGTACATTCAGCAGGCTCTCTTCTTGGGCAGAAAGACAATGGAGAAGAGTCCTGTTTGCCTTACTCCCCAGCCTTAAAAAAAGATTTACATAAGGCAGGAATCTTGTTTCCCAACCTTGACCTCCCCCTCCTTTTAGTGGAAAACTACTAGAAGTCCAAGATGGTGTTTAGTACCAGGTGACAGGACAACCTGACCTAGCAGTGTCACAGCTACATCCCAGGATGCCTCTCAGGAAGGAGAGAAGTTAGTATCTTCAAAGTCTTATTGTTTCTTCCTAATGGCCCATCAAGGCTAACGGCCCGTTGTCTGGTGGGTGTCTCCCAAATACACACACACAGTACACACAGACAACACCCCCTCATTCTAAGGGTATGTAGTAGCGAGGTGCCTCACCACCCGTTGTACCACCAGGAAGCGTCATGCCTGTACAGGAAGGTCTGTATGGTGGGTTGCACAGGGGACTTGTCCAGGGAGGTCTGATTGTCAGTATTTATTCCAGACAGGTCACAGATGATCTTGGTGGTCATATATCAGTAGATCAGAGGAGTTCAGCTGAGCTCTGCTGTCCCTCTGCATGTTAGCGAAAGGCACACACCAACCCCTGACCCAGTGAGCTTCTCCCTGGAGTGTCCAGCACCTGATTCATTGGGCACTCACCGTATTCACAGACTCGCTGCTCCTAAAGGAACCCTGCCCCTCATCTTATTGGTTACAGCCTAGATCATTGCTCCACTGAACACACAGCACCTAGATATGTTTATAGTGAAAACAAGCAAAAGGTGATATAACAAAGACAAGAGATTCTAATGATATCAAGTAAAAATATTGGAAACAAATGGTTACATATAAAATAAAATCATAACATGCATCCTAGAACCTAGACTTAACTAACAAGATATTTTCACATCTTCTGGAACAATGGTCACCCCCCAAAGCATTTTACAGCCAGGCTTGGCTGTGATCTTCCATTCATGAGGCAAGTCACAGTATCAACTTGTCTTCTCAGTTAAAGATGCAGGGGGTACCTCTGCCCCCCAGCTATACCCAAACAGTCCGTTATCTGTACTCAAAAACAGGATCCCCTCCTGCCGTACATTTCCTCTCTTGAAGATTTCACAGTCTCTTGATTCGCATTTTGGCTCTGTATGCAAATCGACCTGCATTGTGAAGCAGGTCACAAGCACATCACACACAATGACCAGACATGGACATATGCATCTGTTACCCTCTGCCTGGAAGGAGCCAGTCAGGGCATGTCACCTCCTGTTTACCAGCCTTCGCTCCAAGACTTTGAGAACATAAGACGTTATGAACCTATACTGGAAATTAAATATCTGTATGCACATTTCAAAATGACTATGACAACCAGTAAACCTGACAGTATTATAACCTATAAAAACCCTGCAGCCCTGGTGCCCTCTGCCAGCTGGCATCAAGAGGCTCTGGGTCACAACAGGGCACCTCAAATGTTGGATTCCAAACCTGTTGCTTTTAAGTCCTGCCGATCCTGCTGTGGACTAATCCCTCTGAAAGATGGACAGAGCAGGTGCTTCCTCCGTTGAGGAGAGTGATGCTGGCTGGCAGTTTCCCAGTTTTGTTGGAAAATGCCCATTCGCTGAAGTGAAATGTTTTGCTGCAAATTTTTTTTTGCATCCTCAACGAAACTTTTGCTGAAACACAGGCAACCTATCAGCCTCCAGAACCCTGGCAGGAGCTGGGTCTCCAGGGGCTGTTACCCACCCCCCTCCCCCCACAGTGAGCCGGGAACACAAAGACACATTTAACCCTTATTGATACAGTAGTCTACAAAGATCCCTGTGCCCATAGCATCTGGCACTCCTCAATATAATAGTCTTTGACATTTACATGCTTCCAAGATCTCACATCTGAGACAGTTTCCCATGGTGTTTTCAGGGAATGCATCCAGTAGTTCCCAGATCGATAGGGAAAGTTGCCAAATGGCTCTGAAATGCCAAAAAAAAATTATTATCCTGGCAAATGGAAACACACACTCCTGAACTCATTTGTAGAAAGGAGCAGCAATATCTGACCAAGTTCAGTGTTCAGCCCTGGGCCCCAGGAGACCTTGATCAGCCTCTGTCCTGGAGCAAGTGACGGGGCCCCGGTGCCAGAACTGTGGCCCTGCCCCAGCCCTTCCACCTGCAGCTGTGCCCATTCCACCCCTTCAACCTGCGACCTTATCCACAGCCACACCCCATTCCACCCCTTCCCTGGCAGCCCCATCCTGCTTGCGCCTTTCTGCACTTTCTCTCCCCACTGCTGCGGCACAGGGACCAGAGAGGCTCTGCCCTAGGGCTGCGGCAGGGAACGAGAGCTCCTCCAGCCCTGGGGCCAGAGTTGGCGGGGGGGGGGGATTATACTGGGAGCCTGTAAGGGGGTCACACTCACCTCTCGCGAGCACGCCCTGGCCAAGTGCATGTGCCTACACTCTCTCTCCACCTGTCTGTGGTGGGTCTATGGTGACTCATCCTCTGGCCGAGTCTCACACTGTCTGTGTGATAAAAGCAAAGCAAACCCCTTCTGGGGTATAAGGCCAACAGGGGGCCTGTTTCAGCACCCTCTGTAGGGTCCTTCAATCTGCAGCCCTATCCTGGGGCTCACTCTTCAATCATTTCAGCAGGGCCTATCACAATACAGGGGCCAAACTGTCTCTCAGCCCCTTCTGGGCTGCCTCAAGTTATCCCTGCTCTTTAAGCAGTCCCAGCCCTGGTGTGGGGCCACATCCCCCAGGGCTCCCTCCCTGAAGGCTCTTTGCTTCTCCAGGCCTTTCTGGCCCCAGCTCTTTAGCTGGGCCACTAAAAGAGTTCAGTTCCCCTTCTGGGGTGCATCAAAATCCAGGCCACTTTCCCAGTGACTTGGAAGGGGGGCAAGGGGGAAGAAGACCCAGGCCAGGGACCCTGTAGATAACAGCCACCCACCATCTCCCTTTAAATAAACTGCATTGCTGCTACAATTCCCTGGGCCACTTCCCCATGGCGCCCGCACATTCTTCACCCTTCGCTCATTGCCTTCTCCTGGTGGAGCCCTAGCAGCCAGCCTGGAGCACCCCCCACTCTTCTCCATCTCCAGCAAGGAACAGCCCTCCCACGGGCTGGCAGCTCCTCTTATACTAGCCTGCTGGGCCCTGGTTGGCTGCTTCCCACACAGCCACTCTAGGTCGCTTGGAGGACGTTTTTACTGCCCTTTTCTGGGGTGGGGCACGGCAGGACACAAGGCCTCCAGCAGGGGGACTCAGGGCCTAGTCCACCCTGACACAGGGCCCGAAATTGGCTGGGCCCCCTGGGCACGGGCCCCATTGGCCCATGCAGTAATCGGCTACTGGTTCAGGAAAGTAAATACCATCTCCTCTCTGTCCCCTGTTCCTTCAAGCAGCTATTGTTTCCACAGTCCTAAGGAAATCTTCACTTGGATCCACTTTTCTCTCTGCCCATCTCCCTCCTCCCCTTAGCTTTAAGTTCCTTGAGCAGGGTATCTGTCTCCATGTTTTTCTCTACACCAACAATTTCCAGACCCTCCTGTCCTCTCCACTCTATTGAAAGTGCCCTCACATAGGGTCCTAGTGATCTCACCCCTCTTCAAGTTGAATTTGTTTTGGTGGGGGGGAAATAACACTGGGAAACAATTGTACAGACTGTGCAAAAAACAGAGCTAATGAGAAAAGGTTAGTTACATTTTTGCCCTGGCAACCTTGCCAGTGTCCCTTTACATGGCCTTATATGCCAAAGGGGTGACTTGATTACAGTAATGACAGGTTTCAGAGTAACAGCCGTGTTAGTCTGTATTCGCAAAAAGAAAAGGAGTACTTGTGGCACCTTAGAGACTAACCAATTTATTTGAGTATGAGCTTTCGTGAGCTACAGCTCACTTCATCGGATGCATACCGTGGAAACTGCAGCAGACTTTATATACACACAGAGATCATGAAACAATACCTCCTCCCACCCCACTGTCCTGCTGGTAATAGCTTATCTAAAGTGATCATCAAGTTGGGCCATTTCCAGCACAAATCCAGGTTTTCTCAC